CACCAGCAGATACACCCTGACTGCAGCCATGATGATCTAAAACACCATTTAATGTGATTAGTTTAGGGATGATTGGTTTAATTTCGACTTAACATAGTAATATATATTTTTTTTATACTTTTATGCTGGAAGCTCCCAGACACGTTTTCTGCTGTTTTCCATCATAACCAGAAAGTTCAGATTTAGTTTCTCTCTGTTGTTCCTCGTGATGACCGCGGTGATAATTAAAACAAACCTCCACCTCACGTTATTCTGGGTTAATAGATAATTAGCTATAACTTGCATTTTTCCATGATCTAAGTCAGTATTTAAACATAATCGCTATCTTTATTCTGGATTAATCAATTTCTTTCTGTTCCATGTCCGCAAAGACGCACCGAGACTGGGTTGGCTCCAAACTCTGAGGATGACAGCTGCTATGAAATCAGCCGTGCTCCCATTTTGCAGTTTTATTTTATTTTTATTGATTGACACGACAGGCCTACAGAAAAGTTCATCTTCCCCAGACAAACTACCAGTCCGTCCACGCGCTGCCATGGTGTGCGCAATTACTATTTTTTCCTGTCCAGCTGTTCTTCCCATTCATTGTCGCGCTATGGTGGAGCAGGTTAACCTGACAACAGCCAGATGCATGTCTCGCTCCGCCTACATGCATCTGGCTGTTGTCAGGTTTGGAGCAGGTTGCAATTATATGAAAAACAATACAAATACTCTGATTAGCTTTGGATACAAATATTTACATTTGATGTAATATATATTGGGGCCTAATGTATAGGTTGCTTTTAAAAAGACACAAACGAGTCTTTTGTGCGTTCTGTGGTTATTCATAAAACTTGCGGTGTTTAAACCAATTTTTACCGAAAAAAACAAAAAAGGTTTACAGATTTTACATTTTATTTCAGTATAATATGAGGAAAAAATTGTGACTTTTTTTTCTCAGACTTCTGACTGAATTCTGACAATAAAACAAGTCAGAATTCTGAGAATAAAGTCAGACTTCTGAGAATAAAGTCAGAATTCTGAGAAAAAAAATTAGAATTCTGAGATTAAAGTCAGAATTCTGAGAAAAAAAATCAGAATTCTGAGAAAAAAGTCAGAATTCTGAGATTAAAGTCAGAATTCTGAGAAAAAAAGTCAGAATTCTGAGATTAAAGTCAGAATTCTAAGAAAAAAAAGTCAGAATTCTGAGAATAAAGTCAGAATTCTGAGGAAAAAAAATCAGAATTCTGAGATTAAAGAAGGAATTCTGAGGAAAAAAAATCAGAATTCTGAGAAAAAAGTCAGAATTCTGAGATTAAAGTCAGAATTCTGAGAAAAAAAGTCAGAATTCTGAGATTAAAGTCAGAATTCTAAGAAAAAAAAGTCAGAATTCTGAGAAAAAAGTCAGAATTCTGAGATTAAAGTCAGAATTCTGAGATTAAAGTCAGAATTCTAAGAAAAAAAGTCAGAATTCTGAGAAAAAAAGTCAGAATTATGAGGAAAAAAAGTCAGAATTCTGAGATTAAAGTCAGAATTCTAAGAAAAAAAAGTCAGAATTCTGAGAATAAAGTCAGAATTCTGAGGAAAAAAAATCAGAATTCTGAGATTAAAGAAGGAATTCTGAGGAAAAAAAATCAGAATTCTGAGAAAAAAGTCAGAATTCTGAGATTAAAGTCAGAATTCTGAGAAAAAAAGTCAGAATTCTGAGATTAAAGTCAGAATTCTAAGAAAAAAAAGTCAGAATTCTGAGAAAAAAGTCAGAATTCTGAGATTAAAGTCAGAATTCTGAGATTAAAGTCAGAATTCTAAGAAAAAAAGTCAGAATTCTGAGAAAAAAAGTCAGAATTATGAGGAAAAAAAAGTCCGAATTATGAGATTAAAGTCAGAATTCTGACTTTTTTCCCATACTAAACTGAAATAGAATTTTAAAATCAGTTAACTTTTTTTCCCCCCAGTGGCCCTAATCCTCTTCTGTAGAATTCTGACTTTTTGGATTTTAATATAGATGGGCACTATGAAGGAAGAGATGTGTGAGCACTCAGCTTCACTGACAAGGATGTGAGATGTTTGAGAGGGCCATTAACACTGGTGGAAAATGATGGAATTAGGCGACTTTTTAGATGCCCGAGGGGTCCCTGGTGATGTTTGGAAGAGCAGGTCATTAACACAAGAGAGCTAGTCTCTAAAATAGACATGGCTACAGCTTGATGCTAACATGTTTGTTAGCCGTCAGAATTTAGTCAGAATATTAAATATATTAAAGTCTGAATTCTGACTTTAATCTCAGATTATTGGTAGGCTATTATATAATTGTATTTATTTATTTTCCTCCCCTTTGAACTGTGCTCTTACAGCTCTGCTTCTTCTTGTCAGGGTTTGGTTGAGGTTTGGAGGACCCAAATACAGAGGCAGAGAGGCTGAGGAGACTTCATGGAGTTTAATGGGGCAAAAACAGTAAACAAAGGCAGGAATGCAAAAATCCAACTAATAATCAAAAGCAAACCAGAACTATGGAGACATCTGGGGAAACCAAACACGAGGAGCCAGGGAGAGACAAGGTAGGTTGACAACAGCATGGGAGGACAGCAAAGACAAGGAACCAACAAAGAGTGAGAGCAGAGGGAGAGCATATATAGCTGACAGAGACAAAGGCAGGGCTAACGAGCTGACAAGGAGCAGGTGTGAGAGGAGACAACAAGGGAGCCAAGTGGAAAGGAACACACACACACAAGAGGGCAACAGAGGACAACAGAAAAACATGAGAACTAACATAAATCTAGAAATTACAACAAAACTGGAATTAAACCAATAAAACTAGAAAACAAGGAGCAAAGTAAAGAACAACAGAACCAAGACCATGACACTTCTCCTCTTTTCCGATCTCTCCCGCTGCTCCACACTGCATCTCAGGATGTTTTAGTGTTTGCAAAGATAGCTCTTGTATCGCATACACATGTAGTAGATGATGTGTGGAGCACTCCTCGTCCTGCAAAACATCATTAGATGTTTGATGTAGGCTATATAATAATATAATATAATATAATATATAATTAATAACATGTGGTAAGAATAACTCAAGAAAGAATAGTACAAATTTGGTTAAAAACATTACTCCTGTACTGAGTTTTATCATATCTGATTTAATATTTAAAGAATCTGGAATCAGACAGACAGCTATCTAAAAATTCTATTACTCTGGAAATATCAAAAAAGTACAAAAAAAAAGATAAAAACAACAATAAATACATATTACAAATGCAAATTTTGGCTGGAAGAAAAAAACTTCAACATACATTGTTTTTCTAACATAAAGTTTCAAACCAATCCTTAAATTATAGGTAAGGTATTTTGGTTGAAACATGATTAAAAAAAACTTCCATGGATAATTTCTACTTAATAATTTCTACTTATTACTGAATCTGATCTTCCAAAAGCTTAGATTATTCAGTTAATGAGTTAATGAAAAAAAAATTGCCAGGAATTTTAGCCAAGTAAGAGAAGTGACACTTAACATTATAGCTAAAAGTAGGAAATACAGTGAAAAATACTAATACAAGTAAATATATAATATAATATAGTGATATATAATATAGCAAAGTATAATATAATATAATAGTACATTTTATGATGTGTTTACAACAGAAGAAACATACTTTATTATTTTTCCCCCTTCAGTATTGTATAGTTAAAAGGGCAATGAAAAAAATATGGTTATAATGGTAAGGCTGAATATTGTTGAATCTGGACCTGGATCCAGTTTTCTAAATACCAACAGCAAAAGATGGATGTGTGTATGCAGCTACTACTCATTGACGACCGTTTACTCAGACTACAATACCCAGAAGATTTTTCTGCTCCTGTCATCAGTCTGACTCACGCAACAAAAACACCACCTTGTAGGAATAAACCTCTGATATGCTCTGAGTGATGCTGTGAGGCTCAATAACATGTCTTCTCCTCTGGCAGTTATTTGATCAAATGAGCCTGACCTCAGACTGCAGATTAACACAGCAAACATTTTCCTCCAGGATAAGGACTGGTTACACGGGTTAGATATTGTAACAAATCAAAAATGAAATAGTAAAAAACAACTATGAACTGAGCAGATAATTAACCTGTTACTGCAGGATGCATGAGAACCGAGGAAAAGGACCAGCAAGACAGGATGGATGACATGGTCCCATCAACAAGATTTAAGCTGGTTTCTGTGTCAGCTAGATTCTGATCTTTTCTTGTTGTGATAAGAACCAACAGCTTCAGAGAATTTAGGGTCACAGACAAACAGACAGACAGACAGACAGACAGACAGACAGACAGACAGACAGACAGACAGACAGAGAGAAAGAGACAAAAACAAGACTTCACCTTGGTCCTTTAATGGTAATACCTGGATGTCCCCAGTTTTCCCAGGAATCATAAGTGTTTTGCCACAGTCTGTAGGGGGCGCTACACTCAAAGCGATGGATGAACCCTATCTATGGCCTCAGCCTAACCCTAAACCTAATCTTATTGACACCACAGTCCCAAAATTGAGGACCAATAAAAGAGCCTACCTTTTACCTCAAAGTCCTCACTTTACAAAAATATGTAGTGCCTACTCACTCATCTGCAATTAGAAGTACCTGATATACACACACACTTTGTTTCACACTATCCTTATGGAGAGTTTCCATTGACTTCCATTCATTTTTTCAGTCATTTCTATGGCCTATCCCAGACCATAAGCTTAACCATCACCAACACACACCCTAAGCTCAATTCACACATTATTCCTTAACAAAACTCCCACCCCAAGAGGAGAATATTTCCTCATACAGACCAGTCATTGGTCTCCACGAGTACCTATAAGTCCCCAAAATGTAGCATATTCCTTGGAAATAGTCCCCGCAGGGTCACAGAAACATCACGAAACACATACACACACACACCCACACACATTCATAGTCCAGACTGGTACAACAGTCAGCAACAAGACAAAAGCTCTGTTGTATGATCAGACCCACATCACTGTTTTCCTCAGTCTCACAGCAGCACCGGGACTCTGCCAGCTCATTTGAACCATCAGGACCATCAGAACCATCAGCACCATCAGGACCTGGATCCAGTATGGATTCAAAGCGGATCTCTTATTCCTCTCAGCAGCAGGTCCGACTAAGGACAAAGGTGAAGGATTTGATTCAACATCACTGTCTCACAGTTGTTATGCTACTCTGTTGACGACTGGTTCTGCTGAGTTCTGTTTGGTTCTGTTGTTGTATAGAGGGAATCTGTTTCTGCGTGATGTTTGGAGGCTGAAGGTTTAGGAGATACACAGAAGCTGTACTATGCAAAGAGATGTCAACTCAGAGAAACAAACAAAATGGCAGATATAGATCAGTTGTTCTGTCAACGTTATGACATTTTTACTTTACTGATGCAACACATAATAATACATGTTATGAATGAGAGAATAACAACTTATAGGCTATGTTAACGGCAGTTTGCCATTATGTTAAGCATGTTTAAAGCTAGTTCAAGGTTAAATTTAGTTTTAAAATATTTTTCAGTCACCGGCACCCCTCGCGACCCCAATTGGGACAAGCGTGTAAGATAATGGATGGATGGATGGATATTTTTCAGTCAATTAACAGTCGCTGACCTGTCCAGGTTGTAACCATCTTATGCCCATAGACTGCCGGAGATTGGCACCGTCCCCACCGCACCCTGACAGAATAAGCAGCAGAAAATGGATGGATCGGTGGATTTACAGTTGCTTTTTATGTGATTTACTCTTGACATTCAGTTTAAGTGTATATAATATAACTCTAAAATAGTTCAAACTAAATTCAAACTTGTTTTATTTGCCATACAGCTAGTTCATAACTGAACGTTGGTTTACTGAAAGCCTCTAGTAACCGAAAGTAGCTTAATGTTATTTTGACCTGCTATTCCTAGTTAAATTATTTCCAGTTCAGAGTTATTATAGCCAAATTAAAAGCTAGTCTGTAGTTGTTTTAACAATTAGGTTTACAGATTTTCTAAATAAGATGACCATATTGCTGAAATCAAATCTTAGGGAATTTCCAGTTCATAGGGGGGAAAAACACATACACAAAAACTGGGACAGTAATTGTTTTATGTTTTTGCAAATCTATTAATATTTAAACAACAAAAATCAAATGTAAAAGCCAGGAATGGACCTATATTCTGTTAGTATTTCATAAAATTAATAAAATGAATAAATCAATAGTGTTATTATAAGAAAACTAGAACTGCGTCTCTGAGATGAAGGAAAGGGGTGGGGGTGAGAGGTCAAAGGTGGTTACTAGGACTTTCCAGTTTTCTGGGGCCTAAAGGTCTCTGCTGCCCCCTAAGGGAAGAGTGACATAAGAAAAACAAAAACTAGAAAAGTAAATGCAAACATTTATCCAACATTTAGCCTACGCCTGTGGCTGTCTGTAGAAACATAGTTTCCCCACCTCTTTAAAGAAGTGCAGCAAATACTTATTTTGTTAATGCAGTTTACTGTTAGCCTCTAGTTGCTGAAGTTTGCTTCATGTTATTTTAACCTTCTACTCCTAGATCACAGTTTAAATTAAGCAGATCTAAATATCAGATTTCTGAAATCAAATCTGGGGAATCTTCAACTGTTCTTTCCATCAATGTTCCTATTTTTCTTCCTCTCCTATCAATCTTACACGATTCTAAAACAGCAATAATCACAATCACTTCTAAAAACATTAGAATGTACAATATGAAATGAATTTAATAGTTAAGGATTTTTGCTTTACAAACCTATTGGAAATTGTTTATTTAGTTAGATGAGATACTGGGGTTATTCCAGAATTATCTTATCATACATATTTGTATTACCTCCACCAAGGAGGTTATGTTTTTAGAGAGTCTGTGTGTGTGTGTGTGATTGTGTGTTTGTCTCCTTATATGTGTACAAGATAGCTTGAAATTTCATGTACAGATTTTAATGACATTTTTACCAAAGGTACATTTAATTCCAAGGAACCATCCATTACATGTTGGTGATGATCCGCATCACTATCTGGATCCAGGAATTTTTAGAAATATTCTGTGATTAATGGTATTATTTAAGTGGAAGTCACAATAGTCCTATGTCGAGGGAAATAAGCTACTTGGAGGAGGTCTGTGCTCTCTGAGTGCTTTTCTAAGTATTACTATTATTATCTCACCTTATTAAAAACAAAACTTTCAAATCACCACAATACTTGGAACATCAAAAATGAACATTAAACAGGTCATTATCACGTACTCAGTCATTCTCCAATCATGCAGATCTTGTCTCATTCAGTTCCTGACTCCTATTTTCTCATGAGGAACTTTCATATCCAAACTGGGTAGCAGAAAAGCACGCCTATATCTGGAAATGTGTACTCATAAATCACAACCTTAAACAAAACAAAATATGATAACTCTACTTATAACTAACCATCTTATAGTATTAACTAAAGGTTAACAGTCAGTTCTGAAACAACTTTAGACAAACCCTTGTTAATCCCTGGAGAACCACCGTAATGCCTCAGGAGTTTTCAATCATTTTGTTAGGCCTACATTTTGTCAGAGATTCTTATACTTATGTCAGTACAACCAGTGTCTCACTCTTTGTTGCTTAGCTTGGTTTATGTTACATTTCCTCATCTAAAGTAAAAAACAAAAACACATCACACCATATTTTTTTTTTTCCTTTTAACCTGGGCACAAACCAGAAATGGATCACAAGGACCTGCCCAATCCAATAAAATGAATCGATTGTAACACTTACCGTACCTAAGGGCAGCTCCCAATCAGTTGACAACAAACCTCTGCTTCTACTCTTTTAAAACTGCTGCGTTTTATTCCTTATATTACTTCAACAGCAGCACAACCAGCTAATGTAACATGCTCACAAGCTTTTTCTAGTGTACATGCAACATTTTTCACCTTATAAAACGGTAAATAAGGGATATTTCTGTTCAACTATAATTTATACTTTGCTTTAAATTAGTTAAGACAGATGTTTGTTTAAGGTTGGTTCACGGAATTTATAGTTCGCCTTAAGTTACGGTAATTCCCTCCATTTTTTATTTGATCCTGAGCGATGGTATAATCATTAGATTAATGTAGGGGCTGGTTTTTGGCACAGTATTGATCTGATTGGAGGAAAACCAGGAGAACTCGGCTCCAACCCTCACATGTTCATAGTTGTACTCACACAGGGAACACAGTCAGGACTCCAACATTGATCCTCATCAGAAGGAATTGGTCATGGTTTCATTTGCTACCAGGAGCCCTTTGGACAAACCGATGACACTGAGAGATTAATCTCTGTGGCTCAGAATCACCTTGATACCCTCAGCTTGAGGACATAACTGTTGTGTGTGTGAAGAGGAGCAAAAAGGAATATTTATTTTATTTTTTTTTAAAGGAAGCTCTTTATATAAACAGACATTACCTAAACAACAGTTTATTTGGAAATGTACAGTTTGATAGGAAGTTCTGTAAACCCCCTAAAGCAGCTGATCTTTATGTTAAATGACCTGTATTGGATTCTGTAGGAGGAGATAAAAAAAAGTGTGAGCTCCTTCAATTGTCACAGACACAGCTACTGGTGTACATGTTTGTGAGGGTGAGGGGGGGGGGGGGGGGGGTGATGGTGGTGGTATACAGTATGTGGTGCCTGGTGGAGGCCGTGAACAGTGAGCTTTGTGTTGATGAAGAGGTTGAAAACAAAGACGTGATTTCTCAACACCCTGCAGCAACTCTCAGAGTCACTGAAAACTACATCTTAGGGTCCAGTTTTCAAGCAGAAACTGTGCTTCCCGGTGCATGTGCAGCTGGACTAAAAAAGACCTACATAGTGTTTCAGGGGGGTCCTTGGTCTAATTTTACAGTGTGTTCTGTTAGGTGAATGCGTTTGCATCTTTTCGATGGTCTTCCACCATGTCTGTGTTTTTAAAAACTTCACACATCATGTAACTTCTCATCCCTTTGTGTTTATATTTGTGTTTGACTGTTCTGCTAAACCTGTGACTGTTAATTTAACCAGAATATCCCTTCTCTAAGGCATAGCAGTTCTATACAGGGGCCAGCAGGGGCCAGCACTCGCTGTTCTGAAAACATACACTGCAAATATACTCATTCCTTTCGTATAACATCTTGGAATAAAAAATCTTAAAATAAGTACTTTTTTTCCCCCTTAATTTGAGCATGTAATTGTTAGATAAATGTTTGCAATCTAAATCAATTTCTCATGAACAAATGAACAAATAACTAGGAATTAAAGTCACCTTTAAGCTTTGGTTGTATTAAAATAGGATCACAATTTTTAATCTGTTGGATCTGGGGTCTGCAGCCATGACTTTGCGGCTTCCTTAATACAGTATATGAGCTCTTGACCTGTTTTTTGTATGTTTGTTTTTGTGCTCTTTTTCTTCTATGAAAAAAATGCTGGTTCCACCCGCCCCCTTGTGAATTTGATGTTTAACCGCCACCGCTCTGATGAGCTGGTCAGAGGCGTAGCCAGAAATTTTAATAAGGGTGGCCAGGTAATAACCAATATACACTGAGGGGTGGCCAAAAGCAGATAGGCCCCAGAACCTCACGGTCAATCTACACTGTTCCAACAGGAAAATTAACGAGCAAAACATCCACATTTTCTAAATAAAGACTAACTATACTTTCCTACAGCCTTTGCTAATAAATAGACGCATATATTTAAACATCCATAATTTCTAGATAAAAGGTATAGTGGATAAAACTCAGTTTTGAGTTCTGGGGCGTAAATTAATCATCATCGTCATTACTTACCTACTTGTATCAATAAAAATCCTGCATACAATTGATATTTACAAGCACTAATGTCCACATAAATTGATTATTTGATCTTTTTTTTTTTTTTTTTACATTTTTATTTATCTTTGATTTCACTGAAGCCTCCTTGATGACTTGTAGAGACACATATTTTTCTCTTTACCCCATATAACACAAAATCTAGCTCTGAAAACAGCATGAATTCTGTACTTATCATATTTGATGTTAGTATATTGATGTGTATAATTAACCACAAAATAATAAAATGTTTTGAATATTCCACTTGAGAGTATTAATGTTGCCACCATCTGCATTAGAGGGGGCAAAAAATGGTAGTGGTGGCCAATGATTGTTAAGGGTGGCCATGGCCCCCCCTGGCCCCCCATCTAGCTCCGCCCCTGGAGCTGGTCTCCTTTTGTTCTCCAGATGGACCAGATCACAGTTCTTGTTGCTCCTTTGCAGGCTTTACTTATACTATGCTTTGGGGGCAGCTGGTAAATGATTAAGAGCTGAGGAAAGATGGGGGGGTGGATTCTCTTGTTTCAGATGGGAAGCTTTGATCCGCACTGAGAGACAAGCACAGGTCGCTCTGGACTCCAAATAAATAACGGGTCCTAATTCCGCTATCAGGGAAATAGCGCCGGCTCGTCCATTGGCATCCATTCAGCGGTCATAGCAGGTACTGCAGCTGCAGCTCCGCTCCCTCACTGCGCATGCGCAATGAGATGAATGGCCGCTGCACCTGTCAGTCCACCAGGAAGTGAGAGGGACAAATCCTCGGCCGTTAATCCGTCCTCGGTTCGGTCATCTTTCCACCGTGGCATGCTGAGTGGACCGGACCGATCCGTTTAACCGTCCGGATCCAGCCTCCGGGGCTGCCCGCCTCCTCACCCCCCCGCCTGCAGAGCCTCAGACCCCCGCTGCTGCCGAGCTGAGGCTCCGTGAAGCTCCGTGAAGCTCCGGGCGCGTCCATCCTGACTGCAATGGGATGCTGCGGGAGCGCGGAGGTAAGCAGGCCCGGTTCGGTCCTGTATACCGCAGGCTGCCTGTGTTTTCTAGTTATGGGTTGATATTTACACTGGATTCGAAGCTGGTTCTGGAGAAGACAGGGCCGAGCCTGTCCGACCAGAGCTGGGATTACCGCCAGTAGCTCCTTAATCCAATTAGAGCAGCTCTGTTACCGAGCCGTTACCGGGCCGCTGCTGGTAAACACAAGCCCAAATAAAGATCATCAGGATTAATGGGGGGACCTGGCTGGCTGGGCCCGGTCCGGTCCGGTCCGGTAGGCCCTACTCAGCACTCACTGTGACCGTGTGTGTTTCAGCGGACAAAGAGAGAATGGAGACCGCTGGAGGACCGGAGCTGCACCGACCTGCCCTGGTTCCTGCTCTTCACCCTATTCTGCGTTGGCATGGTAACCACAGACACACCATAATACTACAGATGCTGCTGGGACACTTAGACAATCTCCATCATACTCTGCTGTAATAGACACTACACTAGTAGTACTATAGTACTTTATTGAAAATTATTGCAGTACTACAGAAATAAAACAGTACTACTATTTGATTACTGTAATGACAATGTTTCTGTAATGGTATTAAAGTTGTACTGAAGTAACACTGATTCTTAAAATCCTTCAATAATACAGCAGCTTAAAAGCATTGCAAATATACTATACTACAGTAATAATGCAGTGATACTTCTCAGATTTACTTTAAAAACTGATTGAATACATGACAATGTATGTGTAGGCTATTACAGTACCATTACAGTACAGTTTTACAGTTTGCTTAAGTAGCCTTGCATGTAAGATGCTTTTCGATGTTCTCATCTCAAACCTGACAGAAACCCAGGAACTGTAATCCTGCTGGAAGGTTCAGATGGTCCCTCATTGTTTTTTATCAGAAATCACACATACTGCAAGACAACAAAGTTCTGCAGCAGTCTCTCCTCAAGATAATCGGATATTTCCTTAGTTAATAATAAAGTTAATAATATGTTCTGCACATTTGATCCCAGATACGTTGTCATTGCAATTCCAGCCTTTCCAAAGGACTGTTTAGATATATTTGTGGTTTTCTTAAAGATGGCACACTGCATGCTGGATGTTGGTGAGATGCTCTGGCAGATGACATGGTCTTAAGAAGCTCAGGGTCACAGAGACAGAAGCAGAAATGAGAAAACGTAATGTGGATCTATGAGCTATTTATTTTTACAGGAATTTTAACCTATAGCATCGAAAGTAGCTGACTTTCTATTATGCAGAATCTGACGTGAAAACTCTTTGTGTAATGGGAGCAAAACCGATGCTGCGTTCAGGGACAGCAGATAGGGCAGCTTTTCAGATCACTGACTGGAGAATGTCGGAGTCCCAGAGGAGCCTTGAGAAAGGTTCCAGATAGGAGCGATTTTTTATTTTTTTTTCCCTATTATGAAAATTGTTCCTTGTATGGTTTTGTTTTTTAACCACAGAACAGAAGATTTCCGCTGTGACCAAATTGGTGGATCAATAACAGCTCCATGTGATATCATTGTTTACCCTCAATGGGAAATTAGCAGGAGAGCAGCCAGCTGATTGGCTCAAAGCTCCTCTGGCTGAACTCTAATTGGTCAGAGGACGGTTAAGGAAGAAACTGATGCCCTGCCAGCACAGAGATGATCTGGTGTAGATGTTTTGTCCACACTGATCCAACACTTTGCAAGAACACCTTTTTTCATGCATGAGCACTCTTCTCTGAAATGATGACGCCTTAGCCATGCCTGAACATGCTCAGATATTTTTTCCACTGTTTATGGTTTTCAGGTTCTCATTAGACCTCAGAATAATTATCTGATCATAGTTATTGTGAACTATCTGCAGTCAAATGGTCTTCAGTCCTACGGATATCTTTGTGTGACGATGTTCTTTTACTGACGCTCTACAGGGCAGCATCTGTGGGTTCACTGTCGTCACCGGTGGCGCCGCACGCCTCGTCTTTGGTTACGACAGCTACGGTAACACCTGCGGCCGGCGCAATGAGAGGATCGAAGGCGTGAAGCTGAGCGGGCTGGACCACACCGACAGGAAGTGAGTGCTCTATTTGGCAGCCGCAGTATTAATCAAGGTCCATCATTACAAAAACACAGAGTTTTGTCCTGTAAGGTTTGAGGTTGCAGGAACATAACAAACGATTTTCATCCAGATGCAGCTTTGAAAACCTAACTACCCTTCAAAAAAATTGACAAACCAGTTCCTGGTCCTGACTTAACCTTTAAGGTATAGAGGATGATCTTTTAATTCTGAGTGGATCATCTATATAAGTAGTCCTCCTAATTGTCAATCATTCTGGTGATATATTTATGTAAGGCCGTCTGACGCGATCGCCCCCAGCTAGCTATCTTTTTCTGAGCATGTGCACTGGTGTGGTGAGCTACGGTTCCTAACAGTCATTGAAGGTCAACTTTTTACCGTGGTTCTTTAAAAAATGGCAGAGGGTCGTAAAAGAAAGTGTCTATGAAGTGTATGAGAAGAAAAGAAAGGCCTTAGAAGAGGCATATATATATATATATATATATATATATATATATATATATATATATATATATATATATATATATATATATATATATATATATATATATATATATATATCCCATAATGCTTTGCGTGGAGAGCTCTCCTCGCGAAGCATTATGGGATTTGCTGTCACAGCGGCCCGCTGTCGCTACCTGTCAGTGGGGACTAATAACAAAGATGGAGCAGGCACCACGCAATGGCGGAGGAGATACGTGACCAACGCACCAAAAAGCACTGATTATCTGTCCGAACTGTAAGTTAACAGAGTTCGCTATATAGTCCACTATATAGTCCCCGCTCTATATAGTGATTTAGGGATTTAGGGGTTAGGGTGGAAGTTCGGACACAGTAAGCTAGTATGAGCTATGAGAACAGCAACTTTTAAACAGAGCGTGCACGAGGAGAAATGGGCTCTGACATGCTCTTGCACAAGTTTATTAGGGGTTCCCTCCCAGGAGCGGGTACAGGGTTATACATGTACATTCCTTTTTTTTTAAAAATCGCAAAAATCCTTCACTATACCTTTAAACTCGCTAACTGAGGCCCAGAGACTCTGAGGTGGAGCTCTTGGGCTTTCTGGTCAGTTCTCTGAGCTTCCCGCTCTGATCTCAGGCTGAATCTGTTGGGACATCGGCTCAGAAATGGGAGCTGTGTGAGATGTTCTCCTCTCTGGAATCGTCCTCCTCAAGGGTTCTGGTCCCTGAATCAGAACCTTCTGCTGCTCCATATTATGTTTGTTGTCTTTTGAAGCAGGACATTTTGTGTCCCGATGTGAGAAGTGTGGAGAGTCTGCCTGGATTTGACTGCTTCAGCTGTCTGTAATATTCTAGACTGTTACCCCTCAGTGACCCAAAGCTGTAATACTGTAGTATTACTATAGTATTATGACAGTAGTTGCAGTAAGGTTCATCCTGGCACTTGAATATGTGGTGCATTCAAGGTCCCATGGGAGAGTTTTCTGCTGACAGATGGTGAAAGCTGTGACTCATCAGCAGAGCTGCTTAAACACACACACAGAAACACACACAGAGCCAGAGTCTATTTTTACCTGCAGCTCCACCTGCAGGAGGTCGATCAGCTGATGAAATGTGGAAACAAGCCTCAGACCTACTTTTCCTCAGAGCAGTAACAAAGTGGCTCTGCAGACATTTAGGACAGTGTGAGGGTTGGTGGGTTTCAGCAGGTTTGAGGGGATCTGAGGTCCAGCTGGAGGAGTTTCTGGACAGTCCAAACTGTCTCGGATGGTAGAAGTGATCAGTGAGGTATCCTCTAAGGGGGACGGACTTGAAGGCACTTTTAAATGTTTTCATGCGGCTGGATTTGTCTGGTGGCCTTGAAAGTTTTAATGTAGACGGAGGCTTCATGCATAAAAGAGCTCCACATGTCCAAATAACCATGGCAACAATACTGTTAGCGCAGAGGCGTCCTTCGAACCAGGCAGATTGGAGCTATGAGCTCCTGTTCTTTCACCTTTTATGGTGTCAACAGTAAGAAGCCTGGGAGTGGCGGCCTAGTGGTTAGGGCATAGAGCTGGGATTCCTGAGGTTCTGAGTTTGAGCCGTACTCCCATAGACTGCCACTCTGTGTTTTGAGCAAGATATCCCACACTGCTCCCCGGGTGCCGCACAATGGCAGCCCACTGCTCCCCCAAAAAAAAAAAATGTCCAAGGGGGTGGGTTAAATGCAGAGAGTTATTTTTTTTGCTCTGTACTTGTGACAATGTAATGACAATAAAAACTCTGGAAAAAAATAATAATTAAGAACTCTATGCTGGGTTTGAAGCCTTAAGTTTTATGGACATGACCTGGTGACTGTTGCACAGGAATGATGCTTTTCAAACTGAAACTAGAGCCAACCAACAACTTATTGAATGACATCAGCCACTTGCTAATGAAGCTGACTGAAATAAAAATGTCTTTTCTGCTGTCAAGTTGCTGCACTGAGCTCAATTGCTGATCATTATTTAGACCCGAATATGAACCCAAAATGTTTCTATTAAGTCAGGTACTAAGTTTAAATTCAACTACCAAGAAGCAACTTTTTACATTTCCGATATAATACTGATAATGCAGTTTTAAATATTGGCCGGTAAAATATCAACCTGATACAATATTAGTTTTGTATTAATCATTCATGCTTTTATTACTTGTTTTGCTAATGTGGAATATTAGAAAAAGGCTTAATCAAATAATTTTACTCAAACAGTAGGTATGAGAATAACTGAGCCACTTATTAACCAATGTCATGTCGCATAAAATTTAAACAGAAGCAGTCAGCAGTGGAGCGTTTCTATCAGCAGGCTAATATCAGTTTTCTGGATAATATTAGACCAATTTCCATTATCAGTATCTGATTGGACCATCCCTACTAGCCAGCATTAATTACCTATTGAAGTCTGTTCCCAATGCAACGTTTATTTGGAATGTTTAATAATCATTATAGTAGCTATAAAGGAATCCTGACTTGATCCTGTCAAGTCCAGTGGATATTTTTTGAACGTTTTTGAACTTTTACGGAATGAGTTGATCCTGCCAACATGCCATCACAAATTATTGCAAATCTTTTCATGTAAATGCTTTTTATTTATACAAGCAGTTGACAGTTGGAGCTCTGATTCCGTTTAGAAATCAGTTCCTCAAGTTATGTTCATCTAAGCAATCTCCTGTTGCACAGCTGGGAACTGGCACAGACACGCACAGTTCCTTAGTGGGCAGGTTTCCGTCTTTGTGTTGGAGAATTCAAACCAGCTAATAAGCCGTCCATCAGTATATAGCTGCAGGAATACAGGCAATCTCCACATTCTGCTTGCAGAGCCAAGGCTGCCATCATTGCACAGTTATGCACGTATTTACGCGGCTCTTTATGATCATGTGTAATTGTCTACACCATGTCCAACTGATTTTATCCTCACCTCTGACCTGATTGAAATTAATTTGCTGATTTGCCACCTTTTTTTTTTTTTTTTTGCTTGGATCGAAGTTTTGGAACAAGCACGGATTTTATGCTCCTTGGTGTACACACACACACGTGTATTTCCATGACCTAAGCACAGGAATATTTACAGGTTATATCTGACAGGCCATTTCCATCCTTTTTTTCCAGGTGTCTCACGCATTTTTTTTTAGGCTAAATGTGATTCAGTTTCATCACTTAATTTTAGATTATGAAAACTCAAACTCGTGGAAAGGTTTTACTATCTTTAAGAATTTTGCTGCTCACTTTAATGAAATGTTCATGTTTATTTCACACTGTGTTTTGCATTAAAGCCTGTGCTGCATGTTCTTTTTTATTGTGCAGACCCACTTTATACATTAGGCCCATGATATTTTGTTTTAGTGGCGTTGGATGTAGGAGTTTGCCCTGCAATCGAAGGGTTGATGGTTCCAGCCCCGGCTTTCAGTGTGTTGTCCTTCAGCAAGACACTTTACTTGCATTGCCTACTGATGTGGTGTTCAGAGATCCCGGTGGCGCAAGTGTACCGCAGCCTTGATTCTGTCCCAGGGCAGATCTGGCTATAATGTAGTTTGAATGTGTGAATGACTGAATGTAGTGTAAAGCGCTTTGTAAAACACTATACAGGTACAGGCCTTTTACCATTTGAGGCACAGTGGTATAGATTCTTAATCAACCATTCAATGAAGAATAATAAGTGCTTCATCAGAAGGCAGTTCGACCTTGCTTCTAAAAGGTTTCCTCAGTCTTGAATAGTTCTGGTACTCTGGACATGGGTTTGGAGAATCAGAACTTTAACCTGTAGCTGAATGATTCAGCTGCTTGAGGCATTAATCACTGATTCAGTGATTAATGCAGGTCTAACGTTTAGTCGGTGTGACCTCAGGTGGAACAGCCTGATCAGAGACCTTGTTTTAGCAGTTAGTCCTAAGGTGGTCTTATGACTTATAAAAGGCTTATCCAGTCCAAGGACCCCTCGGTCATCATACTTGACAAAACATGATGTAAGTACAGGTCAGGTTAGGATTAGGGCTGAATGAATTGATAGGATCAGTTCTGATTGATTAATTATTAAAACGTGTGAGCTTAGTGAGCCAATAATAGTTAAGTAGAGCAAAATACTGAGAGAACCACCCACTCAGAGCTAAAACACATTTAGCATTTGAGGTGAAAAACTTTTTCTGTAAAGATGCTCCAGCCAGCATCACCTGGTTCTGATTTTGGAAAATATCTCCAATTAAGCAACGTTTGCTTTATGATTTTTAATCATAAAAAATTTATTAAGAGTGGTGGCCTTGTGTTTAGGGCATTGTGCTTGCAATCCAGAGGTTCCCCACTCCCACAGACTGCCACTCTGGGTCCCTGAGCTAAGACCCTTTACCTCCACACTGCTCCCCGGGCGCCACACAATGGCAGCCCACTGCTCCCCGAGGGGATGGGTTAAATGTAGAGAGTGAATTTCATTGTTCTCTACTTGTGACACAGTAATGACAACAAAAGCTGGAAAAAAAAAAAAGATTAACTTAGTAAAATAACTGTTAGCTGTTTTATTAATCTGTTGTGTACGGACTAGAGATTGTTCCTTTATGGAGACATTCTGAGGTGGTTTGGGATGGCAAGTTCTGGTTCAGGAATGACTGATCTTTGATATAAAGCAGCGAATGTTCAGCAGTGTGGGAGCTTGTTCCTTTATAGCCGAGTCACACATTTTCAGGCCTGAATCCTCCTCCACTCAGTTTCATCTGCTGGTTCTGCTGGATCTTATCAAACTGGTCAGAGTGGGAAGCTGCAGCTGGACTTTGGGCAGATCAGTCTGCTGAGTCATGATTATACACCTGGAAAAGTTTGGCTCACACGTTGTTTTTTTTTTAACCTGTTCACTGCAGGTTTGTGTTCTTCCTGGATCCCTGCAACATCGATCTGGTTCAGAGGAAAATCAAGTCCATGGCTCTGTGCGTGTCTCTGTGTCCCACTGAGGAGCTGAAGACCTACCAGGATCTGAGGAGGTTCGCCATGATAAACGGTGAGCTCATCACACACAGCTGGGTCATGGCTGTTCGACCTGTAGAGGAGCAGAGAGATGGGCTGCAATCTGTGGAGGATGATGGTAAAGTGTAGTCAAAAGGTGAACGAAGGTTACGCTACGTTAACCAGAACCGCCTTCTCCTTCTGGGTTGTCATGGTGATTATGCTTAGTCAGAGCATCAGAACGTAAAGGAAACATCTGATTAGATGATTTCTCCAATAATGGTTCAGTTTGAGATCAAGTCATGTTTTTCACCTTTTCAAGAAGGTTTTCTACGTTTTATAACTTAAGATATTTTAGCTGATCCTCTTTATCTTCCAGTTACAGTGTAACTATTTAACTATTGTTGGTTAGAGCTTAAAGGAATAGTACACCCAAAACATGATTAGCCTTCATTTTCTACTCACCCCCATGCTGAACAACACTCTGGAGTACTTTTTTGATATCTCAAATGCATCTGGAGATCTGGGAGGCTTCTTGCTATCCGCTGACATTCAAATAATGGAGGTCTATGGTGACCGAGACAGAAAGGTCCATAAAAGTCCACAAAAAACGTGTCAATATTCCTCCATACTGCTCGTCCAATGTATTCCAAGTGTCCTGAGTGGGTAGCATCCAGAATTTACTCGAAACAAAGTCATTTAGAATGTTTTTAGAGCATAAACAGTAGTGTATAGGATTTCCTGAAAGCGCGCACATGCGCGTTCACGACGCTACGGAAGCCGGCAGACCAAACCAGCGCATTCAGCTCGGCAAAGAACTCATGCTCTTCCTCAACACTGAAGTCCTCAGACATTTTTCTTTCGTTGGTTCTTTCTTTGCACAGGTAAACAGCACATTTCTTCTTCTACGCTTGCATTATTGGCAGAGCAGACGCTGAATGCGCACTTTCATCTGGCTTGGTCTGCCGGCTTCCGTAACGTCGTGAGCGCGCATGTGCGCGCTTTCAGGAAATCCTATACACTACTGTTTATGCTCTAAAAACATTCTAAATGACTTCGTTTCGAGTAAATTCTGGATGCTACCCACTCAGGACACTTGGAATACATTGGACGAGCAGTATGGAGGAATATTGACACGTTTTTTGTGGACTTTTATGGACCTTTCTGTCTCGGTCACCATAGACCTCCATTATTTGAATGTCAGCAGACAGCAAGAAGCCTCCCAGATCTCCAGATGCATTTGAGATATCAAAAAAGTACTCCAGAGTGTTGTTCAGCATGGGGGTGAGTAGAAAATGAAGGCTAATCATGTTTTGGGTGTACTATTCCTTTAAAATAGCAATAAAATGGCAGCTGAAGCAGCTTTCCAGTTTAAGAAATGTGTTTAATTTGTTTTAGAAATTCTAGCCAGGCAATTTAAAGTTACTTGTCTTTTTCAAGTAGTGTATTTTTTTTCAGTGTAGAGTAGGTTGTTTTTTTTTAACAGAGTTCAGAGATTCAGCTGACCTACGGTGGGATCTGAGCAGATATTGTCCCAGAGATGCATATTATCTCCCCAGGTTCAAACATGGAGCTCACCCCTTAGATGGTAGCTAGTCTGTAGGAGTCCAGAAGTAGACAGAGGTTGTTTTCCCTTAACCTGACTCCGCCAGATGGATTTGCTCCGCATATCCATCTGGAAACCTTCGGTTGAAGTAATTTTGGGAAGGGGCGAAAATACTGGTTAGCTGATTGGCCTATGTTGGTGATAGACGGGCCAAATAAACCAATCAGATCAACGAAGCATATGACGTACTGTCGAGTTATTTTGGGGTTTGTCTGCCTGAACTCGACCAGGCTTGGCACAGAGGACGCAGGAAACAACTCAGATCAACTTAGTCACTTCTTTTATTTGACTTTTGTCATTTTCTGTTGAATCATAAGCAGGTTGATAACCTCAACAAAGAAAAGAAAAAGCAAACAGATATTAGTTCCACCATGAACCATAGTCACACATGCAAACATGTATAGTTCTCTATATTAGACTTAGTATAATATAGATTAAATTAAATTAAACATTCCTTCTCTCATTTATTTTCTCTCATTTTCTCATCTAATTTCTTAAATTAAACATTCTGATCAGTATCATCAATCTCATTTCATGATTTACTAGAACATAAGTGGGAAAATGAAGTAAAATACATACCAGTAGCGTCTCTGTGCTCCACTGACTCAACCACACCCAGGGCAAACAAACAAAAGGCCCATCAGGTGCTCAACCAAGGCTAATCAACCTAGAGCTTCTTGCTCTCTACTCTCTCTCTGAACACCATGTGAACACTTAGGCTCTCTACTGCCATCATCACATCCCAGAGTGAAAAATATTAAAAGAAAAACATGAAAAATAAACAGCATACAGCACATAACCCAACACCTCCCACTTGAGCTCCTGGTTAATGAACCCAAGGAGGTCACACTATTGTCTCTTAATGTTGCTCCTCAATAGGAAGCAGAACCACCAGGCGTCTGACATCCCTGTGAACGATGGTGGAGGGGATTCTGGATGAGAGTTTATCTGTGTTTTTCCTTTGCTTGTGCAGTGTCCCTCCTTTACTCATTGGAACAGGGTAGCTTGGAAAAGTCCTCACATTCACATCCCTCACGACTCCTCTTTGGTCAGGATTTACACTGACAACTCTGCCAAGCTTGTATCGGCCTCTTAAAGCGTTTTGATCCGCCAGCCACACAACATCTTCCACCGTGACATTCCTCTGCTTTGTGTGCCATTTGCTTTTGATGAACAGGTTGGGACCAGCCAGCTCACACCACTTTCTCCAGAACCTGCTGACTTCTTGCTGGATACTTTGGAGTCTTTTATACAAGTAGCCCTCAAACTGAAAATCTCCTGGATCTCCCTTTGGGCTGGCCCGACCAAGTAAGAGGGAGTTTGGGCTAACATACTCCACATAGTCTTCACGACTTTGAACTCTGGCAGCTATGGGCCGTTCATTTACCAAATTTGCTGCCATGAAGAGAAATGTCTGGAACTCTCCCCATGTAAAGACTCCATCACCACCAAGGTTATTTAAGGCTCTTGACTAACCGGACTGCTGCTTCTGCTGCTCCGTTCCTGTGGGGGGAGTCTGCTGGGTGGATCTTCCAGGACCATTCTGTTCCATTCCCTGCAGCTTTAACCTCAAGCTCAGCTTTGTTCAGTTTATTTAGGAAACTTTGGAGCTCCTTCAGTGCAGGTTTGGCCCCCACAAAATTTGTCCCAGCGTCAGACCACAGCTTCCTTGGGTGTCCTCTGAGGGATGTGAATCTCTGATAAGCCAAGAGAAACCCTTCTGATGACTGGTCACTGACAACATCGGTGTGAACAGCTCTTGAAGCCATGCAGCAGAATACGATCCCCCAGACTTTCAGTTTAGTCCTCTTCTTTATCTCGTCTCTGACCTCATATGGTCCAAACAAATCAACACTCGTAAATTCAAATGGATTTGAGGAGCTCACTCTTTCTTGTGGCAGTTCACTCATAACTTGCTGACATTGCTTGGCTTTGAGCTTCCTGCAGATGACACAACTGTCAACCACTTTCTTTGCAAGTCTTCGACCTTTAATCACCCAGGCCTCTTGAGTCATCTTTCCACCTCCAGCCTCTTGGAAGGCCTTCCTTACAAGGATTGCTCCCTTCTGTTTGACTGGTGTGACTAGCCCAATTGGGTCATCAAGCCCAGCTACCTGACTAAGCAGCTCTCTCCTGCTCAGTGGATCAGGTGTTTCCAGTCTCACATTCTCCTTGTTAAGATGCTCACCCAGTCTAACCTTCCTTTTCCTCTTGGAAAAGTTGATTGATGTCATCATGTAAAGCATGTCCTCTTCCGCCTGATACCCAACACCCAGGGCCTTGTTGTCTTCAACCCTCATCTGGTTTGGAAGGATGATTGTTGCTGCTTTTTGCGCTGCTGCCTCCAGCTCTTGTGGGATTCCCCCTGCAGCAACCTGCCTCCCACTTTGGCCTGACCACACCCAAGGCTTGAGAAAGAAGCCTCCTGCCTTCAAGATGTCCTCCACTCCTTGTGTGATTTTGATCAGTTCCTCCAGACTGTTGTGGGATGTTAGGATGTCATCCACATAGCTATCTTCTTCCAGAATCCTGCACTCCTCCTTCAGGTGAGTAAAGATGGATAGTCTTGCCGTCTCACGCATAGCGAGCTGTGCTATGCACCCAGCTGGTCTGTCTCCTATATTGACCCGTGTGATGGCATATTCTTTTATATCTTCCTCTGGCTTGTCCCTCCAGAGAAATCGGTGTAGATGCATTTCACGTTCCTCCAGCCACACTGAATTATACATCTTTTTGATGTCACCAAGGGCTGCATACACACCTCTTCTGAACCTTAGCAGGACAGCTCTAATTGGGTTTAAAACATCTGGCCCCTTTAAAAGAAGGTCATTCATGCTCACGCCTTTGAATTTTTGGCTACTATTCCACACCAATCGCACTGGGGTCGTGACTGAGTGAGGGTTAGGTGCCACAAAGTGGCTTACATACCACACCGGCCCCTTCCAGTTTCCTCTCATCTCCTCAGTGAGTTCCATGGCAGCATGACGTTCAACCATCTCATGTACTTGCGCTGTGTATGCAGTTTTCCATTCAGGCTCTCTTTCCAATTGCTTTTCTGTTCTTAAAAATGTGGCTTCCACTGCACTCCTGTTGTTGGGGAGAGAGGCAGGGTCTTCAACCCATGGATACCTTGCATCCCAGTGTGGTGAGTTCACGTGAGTATCTTCCTTCTTGATGTACGTGAGACCTTTTTTAATGATCTCCAGTTCTTTTTCCTCTGCCAGGGTAATTACTTTCCCTCCCGGTTGGCAATTTCCACATCTGCATCCCCCACATCTCGGTTCACAGGCTGCCCCAATACTCTCCCATCTCCACCATTCAAGAAACTCACTGTTAGTGGCTCTTGTAAAATTTACATTAGCCTGATGCTCCTTTTTTAGGAGGGAATCCTCTGCTTCAGATGTGTCTCTGAGAATCTCCTCATATTTGACAGCAGCTGTTCTCATGGACCGCGCGAAGTGGGTTCTTGACCCATGGGCTACCACTTCTGCATCTTCAAAGAGATCAGGATGTGCTCCTCCCACTGTCTTCCCAAGTGGACTCTCCCACAAGACGAGGTCCCCAACCACTCTCTTCCTTTGAGGAGCAAGCCTTCCCTCTCTGTGGCTGATAAGAAGCTCGACATCTTTTGGTCTTCTTAGCTCCTCCAGCTCAACCTCTGGGAAGAATTCTTTTAACCTCTCAGGTTCTATTACTTTGTGCACCTTGGCGATATCATCCAGCCCATAGCAGACCATTTCATGTGCTCTTTCTTTGCCTTTGGGTGTCTTGATCCTGACTCTGAGAAGGTACCTCTTTGTGTTCACTCTCATAGTCATCCCACCAACACCATACAAAACCAAGGTTACATCTTCACTTCGTAACCTCAGCCTGTCAGCAGCCTTATGGGTAATGTAGTTTGTGTCAGATGCAAGATCCACCAGTGTTCCCACCTTCTGTCCTGCATTAGCGGTGACCTCCATCAGCATCAAAATAACAGGAAGCTCACAGAGCCCATTTCTCATCAAAAGCTCTGACTGTTTTTTGTTTGTGTTAGCTGACCGGGCAATACTGTTGGTGAATGCATCTCTGCATCTCTCTGCCATCTCAGGGGTAAGTTCAGACAGAAAACGTTCCTGTTCTTCAGTCAGCTTGCTTTTCCCCACACTGCTTTTCCTGCTGGTTTCAATGCTAACTTTGCTGTTGCTCCCAACTGGACAGAGGAGATAATGGTGATCAGAGGTTCCATCTTTGTTACAATCTTTATTTCTGCACAGGTAGGTGTCCTTGCAGAAATTACTGTCATCATGCAATCCGAGGCATTTCTTGCACGCACCTAGCTTCTTTACGGCCGCCTTTTTCTCCTGATGTTTCAATTCTCTAAACTTTTTACAGAAGAAGATCTTGTTATGATGCCTCCAGTCATCACACACTGCACACACTTCCCCCATTTCTTTCTTTGCCATCTTGGTAGAAGCATAACTTTTCTCAGGTTTCCTTCCTGGGCAGTAGTCTGGTCTCTCTCTCTTCTCCACACTTTTGAGCTGCTCAAGTCTCTCCAGGACGCCTTCCTGCTTTTTTAGGAACTTCAGGAGCAGATCAAAGTGGTTCTCTGGGGTGACATTATTGCTTGACTCTAGCATGAAGATCAACCAGTCTCTTTTCACAAAATCAGGTAATTTACTCTCTATTGTCCTGATGACCAATGGGTTCCTTATCGCACCGGAGCTCCCCAGCTCTGTCAGATCTGCTAGGGCTTTTTCCACAGTCTGAATTACTTCGATGACTTTCCTTGGTTGATTTCCCTTCACAGGAGCCATTTTCTCTAATTCTTCTAGGATTTCTAGGACAATTGTTGCCTTATTGCCGAACCTGTTCTCCATGACTCTGAAGATCTCATCAGCAGTAGTGTAGGTTGACAGTCTGAGATCCTTCATTATTCTGTCTTCGACGCTGCTGAGGAGTTGAATTTTCTTGACCTCTGCTGACCCAGATGGCTCTCCTTGTCTCTGAAGATTCTCCCAATCCTTTCTCCATCTGTGATAATCTCTGTTGTTTCCACTGAAGGTAGGGAGAGCTGTCGGTTTAATCCTCACCGTAGGTGCTGCTTGTATTGGACCTCCAGCCACCACGTTTGCAGGTTGCGCAGCACTTGCTTCCTCTGCAACTCTCCGTGCAGTGGCAAATTCAGCTTTCCTCAGTTCAAGCCTACTGCTGGTTCCTTTGAGATCTCTGATCCTGCCATCAAGATCTCTTTTCTCCAACCCAGGGATCCATCGCTCCCACTTTGACATGGCCTTGATGACGTCCTTCATCCTCTTCTCCAGGAGACTTAGATGCACCTCGTACCCCTCCAGGTGAGTACTCTGAACAGGTAGGTTTCCTGCTACATCAGCACTTTCCTCTGCCACCAGGATTGCAGCTGTGATTTCATCTTGACCATACTTTGACCACAGGTTCTTCTGGATGATTCCACACACCTCATTAAACCTTGTTTCAGCCTCACCAACAGTCTTTTCTATATCACTTTCCAGCTGCTCTTCAAGGCCCGCCTCTTCTTCTTTTGTTGCCTCAGCCAGCAATCCAATCCTGTACTCATCGTTCGCTTCAAATATATTTCTTAGACAGACTGAAAGCTTATTGAATTCCTCCCGTAGCTCTTCTTCAACCATGCCATCTGCTCCTTTACTTATAAAGTTGGCTTGTCTGGTGAAGCTGCTTTTTGCAGTGGTCCTCTCTCTTTTGAGCTGTTTGACCGTCTTCTCCAGAACATCTTCTGCCATTTTAGACTTTGTTGACACTCACAGCTTGCACCCTTGCGTCTACAGCTTTACACTGGACCTGTTTATCTCTTTGTCCAGGCTGCCCGACTGGTTATCAACTGTGGAGTTATTTTGGGGTTTGTCTGCCTGAACTCGACCAGGCTTGGCACAGAGGACGCAGGAAACAACTCAGATCAACTTAGTCACTTCTTTTATTTGACTTTTGTCATTTTCTGTTGAATCATAAGCAGGTTGATAACCTCAACAAAGAAAAGAAAAAACAAACAGATATTAGTTCCACCATGAACCATAGTCACACATGCAAACATGTATAGTTCTCTATATTAGACTTAGTATAATATAGATTAAATTAAATTAAACATTCCTTCTCTCATTTATTTTCTCTCATTTTCTCATCTAATTTCTTAAATTAAACATTCTGATCAGTATCATCAATCTCATTTCATGATTTACTAGAACATAAGTGGGAAAATGAAGTAAAATACATACCAGTAGCGTCTCTGTGCTCCACTGACTCAACCACACCCAGGGCAAACAAACAAAAGGCCCATCAGGTGCTCAACCAAGGCTAATCAACCTAGAGCTTCTTGCTCTCTACTCTCTCTCTGAACACCATGTGAACACTTAGGCTCTCTACTGCCCTCTGACACACTCCATGCACAAAGTAGACATCATCACATCCCAGAGTGAAAAATATTAAAAGAAAAACATGAAAAATAAACAGCATACAGCACATAACCCAACACGTACTAACAGCCAGGCTACTCTTACCGAAACCAGTCAGGAGAAGAGCAAAAAAATATTTTCCTCTGAGAAAAGCCTCCAGAACATTGTTTTGCTCTTCTTTCAGTGAAGAAATACTCTGTAATTCCGATAAAACTTGCTCAATAGCCACGCTAACGCTAGTTTCATCGGCTGAAGCTGCCATGTTCTTTAGACTGAACTGTCGCACTTCGCGTCACACCTCAACCCGCCTCAAAGCCAACGCTGATTAGACGTTCGTTTGGTGAACGGCTCCAAATTTTCTTCAACGGAGAGTCTCCAGACTGATTAGCGAGTGAAATCTTGAAAGCTCGCGATATCAGGATGGTCTCACGAGGCTAGTTTTCCCTTGTTCTACCAGCAGATGTTAAGTTTTGGAAGCAGCTGGAGAGAAGTTCCTTTTATGGTGAACCTCTCCATCTTTACCAACACAGGTGAACTTATAGAAATAAGCACAGCATGTGTTGTCTGGCTGCTCAGGAGCTGACCTGAGAGCTCTGTCAGAGTGGTTTCGGGGTGTTTGGCAAAAAGTGTGCAGCCCCCAAAAAATTTTATGAACACTACCCAGCAGGGATGGGATGAGAATGAGAAAATGGAAAGTTCTCGGCCTGATTAAATTCCATGGGAATTCTATCCATTCCACTTTGGGAGCATTGATGAGGTCAGACACTGATGTTTGGTGAGAAGCCTTGGCCCTCACTCTCAGTTCTAATTCATCCCAATGCATTCCCTCCTCCAGACCTTAATGGACTTTACTATTTCCACTGATTCCGGTCATGAAGGAGGAGGAAATGGTCCAAAATGTCTAGGTCTGTTGATGCCGTAGGTGTCCATTTTACAGGAACAGAGGAGGAGAACCTTGCTGCTGAAAATGAAGCCCCATAGCACATAGCATGTGCAAAAATCAGCATGAATGTAACAACTTATTGAGGGTGTTGGGAACAGTGATGGTTATAAAGTCTTACAGCTGCTGGGAGGAAGGATCTGTGATGACGCTCCCTTGTACATTTAGGAGGAAGCAGTCTGTCACTGAAGGAGCAATATGCAAACTATCAGAGTGAACCAGTGAGACGTTCCTTTGATTCACCTGCAGCTATGGTAAAGCTGTGTTTTATCCATCATTATCATTTTATTTACACCATTTATGCGCAAACCATCAGGCTCATTAAAATTCAGCATGCGGTCCTAAAACAGTGTCAGTTTGACAACTTTCAGTGTTCCTTCAGTGATAAAGTCTATAATAGACTTTTTTCTCTAATTAATTGTAACACAATGATTGGAACAGAGTAGAAAAGACCTGAAGTTGTAATGATGATGAAGGTGATGATGATGAGCTCTACCTGTTTCCTGCTTCAGGCTCTGAGCTCTGCTCCTACGAATTGCCAGCCCACGATTACCCGGCTCAGACTGAACGGTTCTCCAGGTGTCCAAAACTTCCCGTCCCTCGCAGGTATGTGTCGCCTCTAACCGAGCCATGAAGGGACAACGTTGCTCTCTGCTGACCTGTGACCTCTGACCCCTGTGTTTCTCAGTAAGCCGCTGCCGGTATTTAACCGCTGCACGCCGGTGGACGTCTCCTGCTACGCCAAGTTCGCTGAGGCTGTGGTGACATTCGTGGGGGACAGCAGCGTCCTGCACCGACTCATCGCCGGCGTTGCAGCCAGCAAGGAGATCATCATTGGACTCTGTGTTCTTGCTTTAGGTGAGAGCTGACAGAAAGCTGTGATGTCACTTCCTGTATGCTGAGACTGGACACTCACTGCTGTCCCATGTCTGTTAGCTCTCTCCATGATCCTCATGGTGATCATCCGATACATTTCCGCTGTCCTGGTCTGGATCCTCACCTCGCTGGTGGTCCTGGGATCCCTGGGTGAGGTCACTTCCTTTGTGATGTTTGGAAGTGGGTTTTAGAGGTTTAACCAAAGGCTGTGTCTTTCTCTCAGCGGGGACAAGTGTCCTCTGGTGGCTCTACATCGATTACCGGCTGTATGGGAACGACACGTCCTCCAAGGTGCTGAAGGATCTGAAGGAGGAACCGAAGGAGGAGCTGAGAGACAGCGGTCAGGCACTGCTCGTATACGCCGCCTCAGCCACCGTCTTCACCGTAAGTGCGACGCCGTGACCCACATTCTTGCGGACATGTAAGAGTAGCCTTCAGTGTTTCCATCTGTGTGCAGATCATCCTCCTGCTGCTGATGCTCTTCATGAGGAAACGAGTGGCGCTCACCATCGCACTGTTCCACGTCGCGGGAAAGGTCTTCATCCACCTCCCTCTGCTCACCCTACAGCCCTTCGTCACCTTTCTCGCCCTCCTGCTCTTTTGGATCTACTGGATCCTGGTGCTGCTCTTCCTGGGAACCACAGGTTGGAGACGGAGCACACAAACTCAACTGAAACGAACATGCAAATGTTAAAATCCGATGCTGTCGATTTATAACAGTTAACACAGATCTGAATGGATGTGAACCAAATTAGAATGCAACAGAATCCTTACTTGTTGGCTTTCCTCCAGCTCCTGTTATTGTTGCTATCGTTATTATAGCCGTGTCTGTTTACCTCTGCTCAGTAGCATTTTGTCATAATGCTCCATACATGGCCACTCTTTCTGTAAATACAGAATCATAATGATAGAACAGAGCTGAGGTGTAAACACCTCCAGTATGGTAGCAGAACCATACTGAGGGATTTTTCTCCTGCCCTGGTCTGACATGCTGGGTAGAAACAACATCCATCCGAGAGACTTCTGCTGGCCTAGCAGAACACAAAAAAAAAAATTGGTGATCCCTATTTCCAATGTTCATGTGGACTTTCCAGAGAGGTGTGTGTTGCATTCCAGAACCATTTGTTTCAGAACCAGAGCATCAGCCCTGCAGTCAGACATGGTGGTGGTAGAATGAGTGCAGGGGCTGCTTTGCTGCTCCAGAAGGAGAATGTCTGGTTATTAGTTTTGGATACTAACCAGAAGCAAAAAGTTGGGTTCTGCTGCAGAAAAATGATAACCTTTTTTAACTCGGCACGAGTTTTCATAATCAGCTGAAGGGAGGAACCAGCAGGTTGTTTACGGGGTGAATACTTTTTCAGGCTGGGTACGGTTGGCTGGAATGCTTTAAAATCTGCTACTGCTATTCCTGCAGACACCCTTTAGTGGCATCAGAGGGGCTGCCCCTGCTGGCCAACAACCAGAACATCACAGGTTTCTGTTCTGATGTTTTGCAGGGAACCCGGAGCAGAACGAGGAGACGGGGCTGACAGAGTTCAGGCTGACGGGCTCCCTGCAGTACCTCACCTGGTACCACGCTGTGGGTCTGGTCTGGATCAGTGAGTTCATCCTAGCCTGTCAGCAGATGACTGTGGCCGGCGCCGTGGTCACCTACTATTTCACAAGGTGGGTCTATACAGCCAATGCTTCACCCATCCGGAGCCGGGTAGAATCCCGTACCAAAGATGGACAAGACTAATATCTGCTCCAGACCTTTTTTAAAATCTTTGTCTTCCAGGGATAAAAACCGGCTCCCAGTGACCCCGATCCTATCCTCGGTTCTGAGGCTGATCCGGTACCACCTGGGTACTGTTGCTAAGGGATCTTTCATCATAACACTGGTCAAGATCCCCCGACTCATCCTCATGTACATCCATAATCAGCTGAAAGGACGGGTACGGAGAACTTTTACCAGGAACCGGTTCCCATTCTGTTCCTTTTGGCCCCAGTAGATCATGTGACCTATGGGTTGTTTATAGGAGAACGTGTGCGCTCGCTGTCTGCTGAAATCCTGCATCTGCTGCCTGTGGTGTTTGGAGAAGTGCCTCAACTATCTCAACCAGGTAAAGGACCCGTAGGACCCAGCAGTTCAGTCGGACCCTTAGCACCTCCATCCCTCCGGGTCTCCTCCATTTCTTTTATCTTTCCCAGAATGCATATGCAGCCACAGCCATCAACAGCACAAGTTTCTGCACGTCTGCACGTGACGCCTTTGTCATCCTGGTGGAAAACGCTCTCCGAGTCGCCACAATCAATGCGGTCGGAGACTTTGTGCTGTTCTTGGGGAAGGTGAGGCCTTTCTTCCCATGGGGCTACAACTGGTTCTTTTTACCTGTTTTTAGCAGAATACAAAGCTGTGATCTTCATAGAGACCTTTAAACTTTCCAATGACAACACAAGTGTTTCAAGAACCTTTTAGAAAGTCATTATAAAATGTTCCCTAGCTTGGACTCTGATCTGTGTTGCTGTGCACGCATCTCCTCAGGTGCTGATCATGACCTGCACTGCATTCGCGGGCGTCCTACTACTGAACTATCAGCGGGACTACGCCGAGTGGCTGCTGCCGCTCATCATAGTCTGTCTGTTCTCCTTCCTGGTGGCTCACTGCTTCCTGTCTATCTTCGAGATTGTGGTGGATGTCCTCTTCCTGTGCTTCGCCATCGACACAAAATACAACGACGGCACTCCAGGGAAGGAGTTCTTCATGGATAAAGCTCTGATGGTGAGCAGGGCCTGACCCGATTCCAGCCCAGAAACCTTTGTTAATCACAATCAGTCAAAGTTCTGCAGATCTGAGACCCGACGGATAATAAATTTTAAGGGACCAAACCGAGGTCCACGTTTGGTTCTGAGTGATCTTTGTGGTTCCACTCCTAATGTGAAATGCTGCAGAAGTATGTTGGCAATTCAGAATCGGAAACCATGGTATTGGGACTGTTCAGTCGAGGTTAAGAAACAGAACCAGATCCAGAGCATCAGCATTTTACTGTCATTGCTTTCCAACAGTAAGACACGCCCCCTTGGTATTGTTTATCCAATCGGGATCAGTAGGTCCTATCTAGTTTTGCTGAAGTTCTATTCAGGTTTTGACCATTATATATTCACCTTACTCACATTCCATGTCAAAATAATTACGCGTCTGACTATTTTTTTTCTTTTTGCGGCACCATTTCACTGCTTCCTTGGACTACTTAACATAAGCTTAAAAGATGTAGGCATTTCGTCACCAAATGGCTCGATTTACCCAAGATTCCAAAATCAGATATTGGTAATTATTGTAGCAGAAGACACCTGGTGAAAAGCTGAGGGAGAGTTTTGCAGTGGCGGCGTTTTGTTTATGATCTGATTTAGCTGCTTGTGGTTTTAAAGGTGTTAATGGAAGTGAATCGTTACCATATTTCAAATGAAAAAGCATTTCCAGAAATGCTTTTTCATTTTAATGTGGCTGCATTACTTGACTCATAAATTAAATTAGTAATCAATCATCCTATTTGCATTTTCTTCTTTAAGACTGCACATTTTATGCCATGATCAAAGAGAAAACACAGCAGACATTGCTTTTTCGTTTTCATGGTCTGCCTGCAAAGTACTGTCCATAACTCAAAAACGAAAAAGCATTCTGAGCGGCGGGTGAAGCAGAGTGACGTGTTTCATGTGTTTTCTGAAGTTTGTGCCCAGCTTGTGACACACCTCACCTGTCTGTTTTGGCTCCACCCTTGCAGGAGTTCGTGGAGAGCAGTCGGCGATTGGAGCGTTCAGGGGGACGTGGGCGGAGCCGGGTGAAAGAGGCGCCTTCGGAGGGGGCGGAGATGAAGCCCATGGTGAGTGAATGCAGTGCTGGAGGGGGCGTGGCCAGGCGGCAAAGCTTGTCAGGGGTGGGGACAGGGCCACAGTGGGCTGAGGGCGGGGAGTGGGAGGAGCTTCAGGAGTTCCAGGTGTACTACCTGCTGGTGGGGGTGCTGGTGGACTGGGTTCTCACAGAGCAGAGCGACTTTGTCCTCTGCCTCAGCGAGGATGTGGTTCTATTCCTCTGCGTCTGCCTGCCCACCTCCACCCTCTTCCTGTTTGTCAGCCTGCTGCACACGCCAAGCCCCGCCCCCTTCGCCAAGTCTGCCTCTAAATCAGCCGCCATCACCTCCACGTGCTAACACCAGACTAACTGATGAACTGTTGGCTGGAAGAACACTAATGCATGCCTCATCATCACCATCACCATCATCATGCGAGCTGCTTGTTCTTTCCGGAACCAAAATCAGACTTTATGTTTCATTATAATTTTTTTTTTGGTTTTTACTTTTGTACTTTTTTAATGGAGAATATTTTTATAAAGAACTTCCAGCAGCTCTGTGTGCGAGTCTCTGTGTTCACCTTGTTTTTTGTCACCATGTTGCTTTAAAACCAACCAGGACCCAGCAGATAGCAGCAGCTAAAAGCTGCAGAAATCCTTCAGTCATTCTCTCTAGCTGGAAACAACAAGACCTTTCTCACCTGATGCTTTGGTCGCCAGATAATTGGAGTCCTTTTCTTTGCATTTGGGCATCAAACAGTTGGTACTGTTCCATCCTTTACAAATAATCTGGACCATAGTCTGAGTCAGACTCAGGTAGGAATTTTGCCTTCATTAAAGGCAGAGGTTTTCCATCATAGTTAATAGTGCAGTTATTATTTCAAGAGAAAATACCATGAAATTTATAAAAATGTATGAAACATTGTAGAGACAGAGTATTTGGACACATGACAGTTTGCAGCACGATCATTTAAAATATAGATACTGATCACTGATCTCTATTTATTCCTGGATTGCTGATAGACCGAAATAAACGGAAGTCACCTGCCGCCATCTTGGTACTCCCTACTTTCACGGCTTCACAACATAAAAATGCCTGTAATGTATTTACCATAGCAATGTAATCAATACATGTATACAGTGGTCGAGTTGTTAAAAAAAAAGAAGGGGGATGGTGGATAATGGTGCCTAATAAATATAGTCTATTAACCTAAAGCAATATGCATTGTATGGTTGTTACATGTGAGGTACGCCGGTCACTGACCATCATCAAGGCACCTTAAAATAGAACTGCAGTCAGGTATTCTTAATATCCGACTAAAGTATTATTATGCTCCATTAACAAACAATTTTTTTTTTATAGATTTGTATAATATGTTATATTACATGTCTTATAGACTTCATGGACTTCATAATGACTATGCAATGTGATGTGCCTATTTTTTGCCATAAATTGCAGTGGTCTACAGATACTATGAAACAGCAAGTGTGTTTCAAAGTGATGAATTTATTTTAATTTTAAAAGTCTTAATTCCCCCTAAAAATGAGAACATCATCATTCGTTGCTGTAGCGCATCTATTATTTACATTCTGACTGGTCTAAATAGGCAGTACCAATATGGCGGTTGATGATTTCACAGCACCGTGTACTGCCAATGGCCTATCATCAATCCAATGAATAAATAGAGATCAATTGTTCAGATTAATTGAACTAATTGTCTAACAAGAAGACAGAAGACTGATCAGAAGAGACTCATACCTGCTGCCAGAACAATGAACTGAGTACAGTTACTGAAAGGCCTGGTTGAGGTAACAAAGGATTCCCAAAACAGATGAACTTTTGTAAGAGAGAGACCCATAGGTAGTCACCCAGATATTACAGCAGATAAGGAAAACCTACCAGGCAAGAAAAGGAAGGAGACTCCCCTAGAGTCTTCTTAAAGTTTCTACCTTTTTTTTTAACCTGAACTGCGGCTCAAAAGCAAAGGTGACCTTTAATCACTTTGAAGCTAGAAGTCTGGATTAACTGATGAAGGTGACGACCATTGCCTTAAATCTTAAACCCAACCAGATTCTGGTCTGCAGAAACCACTTCAAGGTGTTCGATTTTGTTTTATTTAATTACGGCCAGAAGCATGTTATCTGCTGGGTCCTCTGAGGAATCATTTTGAACTTTCTGAGAAGAGTCATCAACCCAATACAAAAATTAAACGAAACAAACCCTTTGATGCTTAAAACCTCTGAACAGTAACCAGTGTTTCTATGACCAGAGTGATGTTTAAGCATGTTAATGTCTCCTATCAGTTGGACTCTAAGGGGCGTGGCTTACAGATCGTCTCTGATTGGCTAAACACTTGTTCATCTGTTTTATTCACAAAGTTTGAGTTTCTCTGTTGGTTTGTTTTAGAGCTGAACTCTTGTAGGAAGATCCATCCTCTTTATACAACAACAGAAAAAAAACCTCTGGATGATTCAGGAAATTTTCCAGATTTATGAATCCTAAAATATACCAGAAACATTTTGATAATAAGCTCTGCTCTCTTACCAAACTCTGTCCAACTGATTGTGTAATTTGCTGGTTGACGACTTTTGTAACATATTAGTGTCATACCGTTGAATTTAACAAAGTAGTCAAAGGCTTTAATAATTAGTGGGTTTATTAGCCAACTTACACACTGAAAGATGACCCATCTAAACAGTTTTAATGCAGCTGGTTAACCAGTATGCGTTAACAGGATTCTTAACAGGATCATTAATAACCTTAACACACTGCTCAGCTGTATTCCTAACAAGCTGGTTAATGGGATTGATAACCAGCTGGTTAACGAGTCATGTAATTTGCTGTGCTGAGCAAAGGATTTTAACCATTTCCACGTTTACGTTTCAGGCTCCAGGGACCAGTTCAGCTTGACCAAAATCAGCCACTGGGACTTGTTAAAGAGACATTCCAGATGTTTATTTTTACCAACGTGTAACATGTTTACTATGGTTTCACTCCAGGGAAAACAATATTTTAATAAGAAACTGGAAAAAAAAAACAACGTAACAATGTAATGAAGCACTTTATCTGGAAGCGCTGCAGATTTTAAAACCGGCTGATGCATTTTTTTGTAGTGATGTCCTTTTTTATAAAACTCACCGCTCAGTTCCTAACGCCTTCCGGACACCTTACCTAACATTTCTGGTGGAGCTGACTCCTCACCTGGACTCCCAATTAAGGGGCGGGGCCTGTGGACAGGTAGAGCAGCAGCTGATTGTGCCCTCCAGGGCTGTCGCCATGGACACGCAATGGCCAATAGGTCAGGAATCTGATTGGCTCTCGGATTGGTGACACGATGCTGGCCGCTGCACCTACGAAGGGGAGATCACGTAATCATCAAGGAAGCCTTTACCTTAAAAGAAAAGCGAAGGTGGTTCTGCTTGTGGAGGAACATCTGCATCCTTGGCTCTGAACGGAGAAAGGCGATGTGTGGGCGGAGCTTCCTGCAGCAGTGGCAGCTGAATTCAGACGGTCAGCAATAACACCTGAACGAGTCTTCCTGCTTCTGTTCATCCAGTCTGACTGAGTAGGGCATCCGTCAGATCTCAACATCCTCCCTGGCCTCTTGGTGTGACACTGCATTTCGGAGTAGGGGTGGGGTCGACCCTCTGGACTGTGTTCCGCTGAGCTGTTAGATGTTGTTAGACCGTTTGTAGCATCAGTTTGTAACAGCCTGAAATCTCTTTCAGAAATACGTTCACCTCCGACGTCATCCTGAGTCCTAACCCTCCGGCTAGTTCAGCCGAATCTCTTCTGACTGGAGGAAAACCGCTTCATTAACCAGTCAGCTGGTTCTCACATGGCAGAGGTGGAGTCAGAACAAAGCACCCTGGCATTGGCTTCTTGGAATATTATGAACCTTATCAGTGGATATGAGGACCGATTTCTGAGACATTTTCCCATCATGCACCTCTATCAGGGAACCTGAACGGGGAGCTGTTCTACAGTGTCCGGATTGATCCGAGTAGCCGAGCCGCGCATGTCAACTAATTGCACTAAAGATGGAGTTCCTGCAACACTAACCGAGCTGTTGAGTTTTAGATTAAACGTGTTTGTAGCTCAGAAATTAATTCACTTCATGTTAAAAAAAAAAAAAATCCCCAAACTAGAAGAAGAATAAATCCTGCTGCTCCGACGTGTTTATTTCTGGTCATGTGACTGCTGTCGCCGGGCAAATTAGCTGCAGGAGCTGAGGAGTTTCTCTCCAACATCGGCATCACCTGATTGTAAAAAAGCACAGAAATCACCAGGATCAGGAAGACGAACAGGAGAACCTTGTAGGGATACGTTCAGAGGTCTCTAAACATTTCAGAATAAAACTGGAAGTCATCAAGATATGAAGTTTGTTTTTATCTAATCAGATTATTTAAAGGGAATTAAAACCTTATATTTATATGAAATATATTGATTCAATGCATCATAACGTGAGTTTTTAATTTATCTTTCTGGCTGAGACCTTATTGCTGTTCAAGGAGTTTAAACTGGTCCCACATTCCTTAACTGGGTCTAGTCTAGGTTCTAAGTGAACCATTTAACCTGTTTTACAAGTATTTCCAAGCCATCAGAGATAACAACTACTAGATTTATTGTTGGATAAACTCCTGATTTGACTGCTGTTCAAAGATTTAAACTAAGTTCTGTGAAACAGACCAAACTTAAGCAGAAACCAACTTCTTCTCTACAGCTAATAAAACCCAACATGGAAAAGGTTTCATGCTCAAATGAAGAAGCTGTAATTTTGAGATTTTAAGAACCCTGTCAGGAGTAAAAGCATCAAAGACCAGATTCAGTAAGAAATGTTCTGCGTTTTGAGATGTTTCTGGGCGAATCAAACCTCTGGAGAAGGGATCCTGTTTCTGTTGAAGGAAAACTCTTCAGCCTCCATCCTACCAATCAGAGCACAGGCTCCTCCCACTGAAGGTAAGTGAGGGTCAGAGAAGCTCTGGTCAGGTTCTGATCCAGAGCCAATAAGCTCTCTGGTTCATCTCAGAGTGAAGTTTTATTGGTGAGAAACATCTGCAGTGACCTTCAGCAGGAGACCAGCTGAGGCTTCCTGCTCGTCTCCTGCAGATGTTCCTTAACTTCCCTCTGAAATTCCAACCTCTCTCGGAGCTTCTGCACTGAGATTTCAGAGCGCTGGACCAGAGCGTCTCTGACTCTTCACCACCGGGTTTCGCCGACTGTTTGCAGCTGATGCATGTTCTGGAGGCTGCTCCTGAACTCAGAGATTAACCGGCAGGTGTGACACTAGTGTTGAGCTTTTCTCTGCAGTAACCAGTCGTTTGTAACACTGAAGAACTTTGCTTTGGTTCTCTGTTGGTTTTTATATCATTTCTTATGTATCTTTGTTTTATAAGAAAATTATTAAAAGCAGAATTTCAGTCTGTGTTTGTGGTCTTTGTTCAAGCTGCAGAAAAACATGCTTTTTTTCCCAAGCTTCTCTGACCTTGAGATGTTCTAAGAGCTAGTTCATTACCAGAGATCCATGGAGACTGATGGAGAGCATAATTTAAGGTAAACAGTTGCTGACTGGTAACAGGAAGCTGTCCTTCCAACTGCTTCAAGCTGCTGGAGCAGAGATAAAGGAGAGATGGGGAGTTTGTTGGTTTTAATGGAGGTTAGAGGACCACCATCTTTACTTAGATGCTTTATAGGCTAAAATTTGGTTAAATCTGTTGATACAAACTGATGTGACGGTGTTTAAATTATAAATTGGTTAGAGGAGTCAGTTTGTCCTGCAGCAGCAGACTGGGACAGAACAGAAGACCAACACATGCAAAAAAAGAAATCCATGACTTGTTTTTCACCAGGTAAACCAATATAACAACTCAAAATTCAGAAATAAACAAACATTCAAAAACAAATCAGTGACCAATATAGCCACCTTTCTTCACCATGACACTCAAAAGCCTTCAATCCATAGATTCTGTCAGTTTGTTTGCGATCCACATTGCGTGCAGCAGCCACCACAGCCTCCCAGACACTGTTCAGAGAGGTGGACTGATTTCCCTTCCTGTAGATCTAATATTTCATGAAGGACCAGAAACTGGCAGTAGGTCATGGAGTTGATCTTGACTCCATCATCAATCCGAAAAGGTCCCACAAGCTCATCTTTGATGATACCAGCCCATACCAGTACTGCACCTCCACCTTGCTGGTGTCTGAGTGGATAAAGAACTTGCTTCCCTTTACTGATCCAGACTGATGCCCATCCATCTGGCCCATCAAGACTCACTCTGATTTCTTCAGACCAAAACTCCTTGGAGAAATCAGTCTTCAGATATTTCTTGGCCCAATCTTGACGTTTTGTCTTGTGTGTCTTGTTCAAAGGTGGCCTTTTTTCGGCTTTCCTTACCTTGGCCAGGTCCCTGAGTATTGAGCACCTTGTGCGTCTCGGCACTCCAGACATGTTGAAGCTATGAAATATGGCACAACTGGTGGCTAATGGCTTCCTGAAAGCTTCACGCTTGATCTTCCTCAATTCATGGGAAGTTATTTTTCATCTTTTTTCCAACACTCTTCTTGTGCCCCTGTTGGCTATTTGCCATGAACCGATTATCCCGATTATTATCCCGCTTCAAAATGCGATTATCCCGCTTCAAAAACTCTGTAATTTCCAAACTGCTACACCCCTCTAAAAGACATCTGACAATTTTTGACTTTTCATTGTCTGTCAAATCTCTTTTCTGACCCATTTTGCTAAAGGAAAGGAAGTTGCCTAATAATAAGGCACACCTTATATAGGGTGTTGATGTCATTAGGCCACACCCCTTCTCTTTACAGAGATGCCCACCACCTGATTTACTTAATTGGTAGTTGGCTTTCAAGCCTATACAGCTTGGAGTAGCACAACATGTAAGAAAAGGATGAAGTGGTTGAAATACTAATTTGCCTAATAATTGCACACAGTGTATATTTATCCCCCTGGCTCCTTCAGAAACACCCAATGAAACATGTAGTGAGCTTTTATAACTTAAGAATCAACCTGGAAAAAACAAAAACAACCTTGAATGTTGACACAGAATCTTCTGGATTCAATAAAGTAAAACAAATTCAGCAGAGATTTTAGCTTTAAGAACATTTATGTTGAAATGAAGACAGACAGAAACAGGTCTTCACAAGTTACAGTCGTCGTGCTACTGAAAAAATATACACAAAGAGCCTGCAGAGAATGTACTACAGAAGCACCGGATCAACCTGAACAAAACCCATCTACAGGAGCCAAAATTTGTAGTGTTTATTCACTAGATGGCGCTATTGGTGCTAGCATCTAGAACAGGGGTAACCAATTAAAAATCAGCAGGGCCTGAATAAAGAAAATCAACAACCAGTAAAGGTCTGGAGACATTATTAATTACTATTCGTTACTTTAAACAGCATTTCACACTGAACTAAAATTAGGTGTTAATGCATCAATGTTATACATTCACCTTTTAAATAAAAAATATATATATATAAAAAAAGAAAACTTTTCCATTTTAAAATCAAAAATGTTTTTTGAAGTAGAGAACAACAATCTTTCAGTTTAGTATATAGACAATTTAAATATTTAAATATTTAATAAAATACCTGAACTGACAGTTTTTTTTCCTTTCGTTTTTATGGCTTAATGAGAGAAGTGATCTTTATGCTGACCTCCAAGGCTTTTAAACCTGGGTTTGAATGGCAACAAAGCCATTCTAAAGCACATATCAAGGTGCTCATTTTGACCGTGGATCTATATTTATTTTTGATTATGGTCATGTTGCAGAATCCTGCTTCACAGCAGTAGGTTGAGCCAAACATACTCAAAATGTGCAGGGACATCTTTCAGCACACCATTTCACTTTTCTTCCACCAGTTCACAGTGGTTCTTCCAGCAGTCTACTCTTTCTCTACTCTCTTTTTCTCATCGTCTATTCCTTCTTTCACACCGCCCAGCTTGCCTGCTGTGTCTAAAAGTGGCTCGTAGTCTGACTGACGCAGCTCATTGGCTAATTTGTATCTTGTGTAGCCTGGTCCCGGATGCTCCGGAGCGCTTTCCATGTTAAGACGAGAAGCGTTGCAAGTGAAGTTAGACACTTTCGTCAGACAACATGCAGCAATTTATAAATATTTTAAATCAGGGTGGGTCCGTATTAGCCAGTTGGTGGGTCCGCATCTGGATCCTTGTCCGCTAATCCGTGACATCTGATCTAGAGTAAGGGGCAACAGGTAGAAGGAATGCATCGTACCCATAAAGGGAAACAAGTTTTTGACCGCTATGGCAGAGTCTTCGTTAAACTCTGTTGCTGGTAAGTTTTTGGGAGTTATTGAAGTCTGTGAAAAACAGAAGCTTTAGGCTGAACTCAGTCTCTGGGCTCCAGCGACAGCAGTCTGATCTCCTGGGGTTGAAGGTAGGAGATGCTCTGCAGCTGAAAGCTTGATGCAAAGTGTTAACTAAATCATGTTAAGACCCTTTTCAGGGTTTTTAATTATCTGAACCTGAGCAACAGTAAGAAAAGCTACAGCTTCACTGATAATCTAGAAAGTTCTGGAAGACTTTTTGTACGATTATCAATCCCTCCAACAGTGCATGCTGCTGCTTTCTGCCTTCAAATGCGAAATCTTGCACAACAAGGTGATACTATTGTTCCTGATGTGCAGAACTGATTCAAGAATCCACAACTATGGTTACTATGGTAACCAGTTACTGTACAGCAGATTACAGCTTGATGGTTTTCAGTCGGATCCAGTGGTCAGAAAAACATAACGATGCCATTAAAGTTCATCATCATCTTCGCTCGCCATTTCAAGCTCCTTATCTTTCCGCTCTGTGCTCTCTGTCACAAACTCCTTCTGCTGTTCCTCCAGCTCCAGCAGTTCTCCCTGCAGGCGCTCCAGGTGCAGTGCACGGCGGTTCCTCAGCAGGCGGCGGGGAAATGGGTTCATGTCATTAAAAGCAATGGCGGTCAGTTTCCTGTGAAGGAGAAAAACGGTAATCAATTCACTGACGCATCTACAGAGAGAGCTTTCCCACAGGAGGCGTTTCCTTTGGTAGATGGTTCCTATAGACTGACTGAGATTGTTCCAACAAAGTGTTCCCACAGAGAGCATTAATACAGAAAGCATTAACTTCAAGTGTGGACACAGAGACTGTTCACACATAGTTTTCCTATAGTGATAGCATGGAGAACGCTCCCATAGTGTTCCCACAGAGCATTCAATCAAAGGATTTTCCTACTATTCACATAGAGAAACAAAGCGCTTATATAGAGCACTACAACCGAACATGTTCCAACAGAGAGAGTTCAAACTGAATGTTCCAATAAAATGTTATCATAGAGAATGTTTCCACAGTATATTTAAAGAGAGGGTGTTCCCACAGCGAGCATTACCATTGCATGTTGCAACAGAGAATGTTTCCAGGGAAATTATCTACACAAAGCTTTCCTATAGTGTTCCCACAGAGAATGTATGTTGCAACTAAGAACGTTCCCAAATAGAGCCTTCCTGATAGAGATTATTTCGACAGAAAGCCTTTCTAAAAGATATTCCAACAGAGAGCTCCCATCAAATGTTACTTCAGAGAATGTTTCCACAAAACTTGTTTACACAAAGTGTTACCTAAAGAGTATTCCCAAAGAGATCGTTCATACAGTGAACATTACCATAGAGTCATTCTATGGTAATGTTCACACATTACTATGTGATAATGCTGTCATTCTAACAGCATTATCACAGTGAGTGTTCCCAAAGAGAACATTCCCACTGAGACGTTCTCTGCTGATTACCCACCTGCAGTCAGAGATGGTTTTGGTGAAGAAGCGCAGGTACTGGTAGATCTCTGTGCTGTCTTGGATCTTCAGAATGTCTTCCTCTTTGTATTTGAACAGGGCCAGAGCATATCTGAAGATTACCTGCAGCCAGAGTTGGGTAGTAAGAACATCTTATATTAGTCAAGTAGAAAATCAAAGAAGCTGGAGCTCAGTTATAGTTAACACACACATGATGTAATCTTTCATTGCATGGTTCTATTGCCTCACATGTCCTCATCAGGAAAAGTGAACCCACATTTTAGAATATATTTTTGTTGGACTTTATCTTGTTTTGCTCCCATTGATAAACATCAGACTTTTAGGTGAATGTTAAAGCATCACAGAATGCTATGATGTGTTGATGAACAGTGTCAGGTTGGGTCCAATTGGCATGAGGACTTGGTGACAGCAGAACCATTCAATGATAATGAAAGATACACTATATTGCCAAAAGTATTTGCTCACCTGCCTTGACTCACATATGAGCTTAAGTGACATCCCGTTCCTAATCCATAGGGTTCAATATGACGTCGGTCCACCCTTTGCAGCTAGAACAGCTTCAACTCTTCTGGGAAGGCTGTCCACAAGGTTTAGGAGTGTGTTTATGGGAATTTTTGACCATTCTTCCAGAAGCGCATTTGTGAGGTCGCACACTGATGTTGGACGAGAAGGCCTGGCTCTCAGTCTCCGCTCTAATTCATCCCAAAGGTGTTCTATCGGGTTGAGGTCAGGACTCTGTGCAGGCCAGTCAAGTTCATCCACACCAGACTCTGTCATCCATGTCTTTATGGACCTTGCTTTGTGCACTGGTGCACAGTCATGTTGGAAGAGGAAGGGGCCAGCTCCAAACTGTTCCCACAAAGTTGGGAGCATGGAATTGTCCAAAATGTCTTGGTATGCTGAAGCATTCAGAGTTCCTTTCACTGGAACTAAGGGGCCAAGCCGAGCTCCTGAAAAACAACCCCACACCATAATCCCCCCTCCACCAAACTTTACACTTGGCACAATGCAGTCAGACAAGTACCGTTCTCCTGGCAACCGCCAAACCCAGACCCGTCCATCAGATTGCCAGATGGAGAAGCGCGATTCGTCACTCCAGAGAACGCGTCTCCACTGCTCTAGAGTCCAGTGGCGGCGTGCTTTACACCACCGCATCCGACGCTTTGCATTGCACTTGGTGATGTATGGCTTGGATGCAGCTGCTCGACCATGGAAACCCATTCCATGAAGCTCTCTGCGCACTGTTCTTGAGCTAATCTGAAGGCCACATGAAGTTTGGAGGTCTGTAGTGATTGACTCTGCAGAAAGTTGGCGACCTCTTCGCACTATGCGCGTCAGCATCCGCTGACCCCGCTCCGTCAGTTTACGTGGCCTACCACTTCGTGGCTGAGTTGCTGTCGTTCCCAAACACTTCCATTTTCTTATAATACAGCTGACAGTTGACTGTGGAATATTTAGGAGCGAGGAAATTTCACGACTGGATTTGTTGCACAGGTGGCATCCTATCACAGTTCCACGCTGGAATTCACTGAGCTCCTGAGAGCGACCCATTCTTTCACAAATGTTTGTAAAAACAGTCTGCATGCCTAGGTGCTTGAATTTATACACCTGTGGCCATGGAAGTGATTGGAACACCTGATTCCAATAATTTGGATGGGTGAGCAAATACTTTTGGCAATATAGTGTATGTTCAACTGAAATTAGTTGATGTGATGACCCAAGATGTGCTGCTGGAGAGAAATGGCTGCTACCAGCATCTGAACCATTTTAATACATCACCGTGACAGCAACGTTAAATTCCTGATAACGCTGCATCAACTATAATCTAATCCATATGAAAGCAACAGATCCACAAGATATTGGTCCTGAATACCCATCTCTACTCATATAGTCTAGTCTAAGTATAAAGCCTGGTTTATCCTCAGAAACCAGTTCCTCTGCATGTGTCGCAGTTAATGCATGTCATTGACTCACTGCTTGCAGGTAGGTGAAAACAACCCTGATTGTGATGACCTACATTTTTAATGTAACCTATCAGACACTGGCTGCAGCAGATCTACTCAAGATCAATCTTGAGACATTGCATTCAGGTGAAGCTTTCAGGGTTTCACAATGAATTAAGGTACAGATTTATATCTATTGGGATGTGTTTAGGGGCAGTTTTCAAAGTTTGGTGGTACATTATGATGCAGATTTGTTTATGTTGTCGTGAGGTTCAGATTGTTGAATTTCAGGATGCATTCAGGGGCAGGTATCTGTTTGCTGCGTGTCATGGTACCTTGGTGCCCTCATACAGGAAAGCATCCCACACCGGCAGCAGGATGTCACTGGGCAGACTCTCCACAAAGACCACCAGAAACCAGTTGAAGGTGACCAGCGACACATCGACCCCGTGAGTCTCAAAGTGAGCCGCCAGTCGAGGAAGCTTCTCTGCCATGAAGTCCTTTAGTACCCGCTGGTCAGCCTAAACATGATTGCATCATTAATCTGTGACTCTGATCAACGGATGATGATGATGATGCTCCAGGTGTGCTTTCTCACCTGAGAGGCCACCAGGTTCTTGGTGTAGTAATCCTGAGGCATGATTACCTCCACCACGGCCACCAGACACCAGAAGGCGTCCTCTTCGTTCTGAAGCACGAGAAGAGCGATTGCTGCTAACCTGAGAGACACAGGAGAAACAGCTGAGGTAACGACACCCGTTAGCAACCTGCTAACACATAATGACAGGAGGCTACCTATTGAGTCCCTGGCAATAACCGACCGCCGGGTTCTGCCAGGAGAAAGCCAACAGGATGCGGCGGAGCTGCTGGAGGGCAGGGCTGGATGGTGAAGAGAACTTCTGATTGGTTGTCAGGGTTCTGTGAAGGTCCAGTTGGATCTGTCTGGAAGCTGGGTGGGTTGAAGTTCTGCTCTTCTCACACAGCTGCAAGCACACAATCAGGATTACTGACAGTCTACTTGTGGACATGTCAAGGCCGTTGCTGAGGCATACCTGCTGGTACCGTTGAGGGTGCTGCTCCCGGATGGTTCTGGTTCTGGCCCGGACCAGCCAGCCCCACACTCTCTGCCGGTATTCCCGTGGGACGCCTCCACGAAGCAATGCTTTGAGCTCAGGAGAGGGACACAAGTCATACTCTGACCGGCCAGCCAGGTACTGTGCCCAGCGGCCCAGCAGGGGGCGCTCCACTCTGTCCTGCAGAGAGAGACAGAACCAGAATCAACCACATAGATCACTTTGTTCTGCTAGGAATCACATAAATATGAACTGAAAAGAGAAACAAGAAAACAATAATTGTTTTTCTATGTTGGTTCATGAAGAATTTTGTTCTTAGAATGTTTTGATCATTTAACCCATCATGAATTGTTACACTTTATCTTAGGATATTATAATGACTTCATAATCTGTTATAATCCGTTTTAATTCTTTCTAGTATTCTGTGTTTTTGTTCTTATTGCTCTTTCCTATCAGCCAATCAGGTTTGAGCAAAACTTTTTTTTTTTATTTTGTTATTAGCAGTGTTGCAGATAAAAGATAACATCTACAGGCCCCATGCAGGCTACTGCAGATAAAACTCAGGGTTCAGCTTGTTAAACCTCAGAGGAAGATACAGACCTGCTGCAAAAGGTTGTGGGATCGGATTTCCAGAGCCTGGATCTTGGCCAGCAGCTTCATGTCCTCTACCTCGTAGTCTGGAATGATCTTAAAGCCGTACTCGTCATACTCCCTGCAGACGGAGCAGAGGGATCCATTTCATGCTTCAGCTGAAACCTATTATTCAACGTCCAGCTGTGGTCCAGGTGTTCCTACCTGTCAGCGCTGAGCTTCATTACACTCTTGAGCTCTCCTCTCAGAGCGTCCTCAATCATCTTCTGCACGGCCTCCTGCTGCTCAGGAGCCAGAGATTTGGCATCCTGCAGCTTCCTCAGGACGCCCAGGTAACGACTCTCCACCTGGCAGTTGGTGGCCTCCAAATAGGAACACTGTAGCCAATCAGAGAGCAGGACACAGAAATGTTAGAGATGACAGAGCTGCTGTGGCTGGTTCCTGCATTCAGACCCACCTTCACCATCAGGCTTCTCTCCTGCTCTGAGCTTTTCCTCCACAGCTTGGTCAGCTGGTAGATCTCCGAGTTCAGGAATTTGTTCTGGGTTTTATATGCCTCCATGTCATCCTGAGGAATGCACAAACACGATCAGAGCTCAGGACATCTCATTAGAACCAATCAGCTGTCACTCATCCCATCTCCTCTCTTCATATTAACGTGAAAGCCAGAACCAGAGTCAAATCAGATTGAAACCAACTCTGAGGTTTCTCTGTTCAAAGTTATTAGACTCTAAAGTATTAATCATAGATTTCCAGTTTATTTATAGACTGCATGGGTAGTTGAGTTTATTCTTTATTCTTCTTGGCACTAGCTGGTTCCTCATAGCTCAGTAGGCACTGCTATAGGAAAACTAAAGCCTCTATTATACCTATAGAACAGCATCACCCTGAAAACCTACAAGAAGAAGTTGGAGGAGAGATCGGATCAGAGAAAAACCCCACTCTGCTGAGGAGAAAGTTCTAAAACACAACCGACCCCCCGACCAAAAAGGACAGCTGGGTAGGAACAGCACTTGTAAAGGTGTGACAGCATCCCACTCTTTCCCACTTCAAGACTTCACCTTGAGGTTCTCAATCTGCTGCTGAAGCTGCTTGTGGGTCTGTGAGCTTGGGGCGCTACCAGAGGCATCGGACTGCTGTGGTTCAGACAGGCAGGACGTCACCTGATCAGATAGCTTCATGATCACCTAACAGGAAACAGGAAGTACAATAAGTTCAGAAACAGACTGATATCTGTCTAAAGAAACAAGGCTCCTATAATTGGTTCAATCTGTTACTGATGTAGGTCAGAAATCTGAGGAACTCTCTGATGAACTTTCCTCATCTATGGTTCAAGTCTCCTCACCTGCTGCTTGGCCGCGTTCTTCTCCGTCAGCAGCCTGATGCTCCTCTGCAGCTCAGCCAGCTGAGCGTCTTTGTCAGAAAGCGTCCTCCTAAGATTCTGTGCCTCCATCTTGGTCTCCTCCAGTTGCCGCCGAAGGTCGGCCGCCTGCCGCTCACGGTGGCGCAGGAGCTCCAGGCGGTGCTGCTCGTCCTCCTCTGCCAGAAACTCTGCACAGGTCCTTTTCTCCAGCTGGGACGCTTCCAGGGCTTTATGGAGGATCCAGACCAGCTCCTGCAGGACAGTATCAACACCATCTTTAAATACTGCCTAGTTCCTTATCTGTGGATGACTATTTTAAGAATGCTGGTTCTGGTTCTGTGTAGCATTCTGCAGGCTTAAGAGGAGCAGCTTTAGATCTGAGACATCACCTTCTGAGCTTTGACCTCCTCCATCAGCATCTGTTTCTCCTGCTGAAGGCGGGACGTCCGCTCCGAGGACGAAGACATGGTGTCCCTGCGAGAGGGTGGCATGGTGGATGATCCACGCGCCTTCCTCCTTCTGCTTCTGTCGCCCAATGGTGATGAAGACTCCCTGCCTTCAGGAGCTGACCTCTGACCTGCTGGATCACCCATGGGGTCCGAAGGCGGCGGGGCCTCAGGAGGACATTCTGAAGTGACTGGCATGTGACAGGAACTGATGTAATTAGAGGAAATAAAAAAGGGGTGCACTAAAAAATAAAAAGACCCTAGATTATGTGTAATGGAAATTCATTAAACCAGGAAGAAATGATAGAAGAAGAAACAAATAGAATCTGGATTCTGATCAGAGAGGGTTCTGGTTTCCTTCCAGTGGGAATGATTCATACAGACTAGGGGTGTCCTGATACAACATTTATATTTTTTGTTACAATACTGATATTGTAGCTTTAATAACTGTCCGATAGCGATATTCACCCAATACAATATCAGCACAAATCATACCAGCTTTCAATACTTATTTGATAGTGTAGAATGTTAGGAAAGGCTTGATCAAATCCAATATTAGTTTTTCTGGCTATTAACGGACCAATATTAATTTCAGATCGGGACATCCCTATTTCAGACCTTTCTTCTGGTTATCGGTTAAGCCAGGCAGTCAAATAGTACCAAACCCAATCCAACAGTACATAAACACACCTGTACCAAGTACAGTGCCCTGCGGGACAGTGACATACCTTTGCTGCCATCTGCTGGCACGGTGGTACTGATCCATGGAAGAACGTCTGTGTAGAACACACTCTGACTGGAGTCCTGAGAGGTTCTCTTCCTCAGACTGTGGACTGAGTTCCTGTTCAGAAACCAGACCAGAACCACTAAGCAGCAGCAAAAGAACAACCAAAACCAGGAAGTGGGTTCAGAGCTTTCTGGAGCAACTAACTGGATCTGGATGAGCGGGTGTTTAATGGACATTCTGGCGAGCGCCGTGGGTTGAGTCGGAGCGATGGCCAGGCCAACGGGACTCTTGGAGATAGGCAGGAAGTCATCTGATCAGAGAGGAAACAGAAGCACTAAATCAGACCCTGCTGGATCAGGATGTAACAGGACACTGCTGCAGACGACAGCACAGAACACCTGAAGAAGAACGGATTCCAACCTCTGCAGAGTCACTGAATAAAACAAATAAGAACCAGAAAGAGCAGAAAGATGAGCAGCTCCAGAACACGGCAGGCTCGAGCTGAAGGAGGAAGAACCTGCGCATACAGACTGGTTGGTCTGGGATTAACCCAGTTATTGATGAAGCTTCAGCAATACATCAAGCTGCATTGATTCCCATTCAAAGTGTAGTTTCCGGCCTTTGCCCCAAAATGGGGCCCTGCTATTGAGCATCCTGTAAAATTAGACAAAGGTTGTTTTTAGTTATTTTATTTGGTTTTTAAAGGCTAACAGACAGAGCTAGGTGCAGCAGAAAGTGGTGTACTACATGCAGCACATGCCTAACTTTAATTTGTTATTTTGCTCATGTCAAAGGAAGTAGAATATTTTTAGACTCTAAAGTATTGATTTGTATGGTCTGTCCCGCTGCAAACGGTTTATCACTTTAATAAACAGAACCTAGTAAAAATTCTGGGTCCTAGTCTGTTGAATCATTGTGAACCTAGAACAGAGAAACGTAAAGAAACCATAAAACCATCCTAGATGATAGAACTACGTTTTAGTTTTCAAACAAACTTTGACTTCTTGAATTTTAACTCTTTGGTTCTGATGCAGATCTCAATGCTGGCTTATGTGATGTCAGAAAACAGATCAAAGAGTTTTTGACTAAGTCCTGCAGGTGAATCAGGTTTATGCCAGTCATGTGACTTTAATGCTGAGAAACTGACCAATAGGTTGACACGGGGTCCTCCGAGTGCGTTCCCCTGTTAAAGACTTCTGTATGTCTAGATGGGAACATCAACCTTCAGTGACATCCTGAACTTAGCAATTCAACTTTCAATTGAAATACATGCTGCAGTAACCAGTTGCAGCCTCCAGGGGGCACTGACAGTTGATTTTAGATCAGTCTGAGAGTCTATGGTTTAGAGGCAGCTGCTGAACATGTTCAGACAGGAGGTGAATACCTGATGCTCCTGCTGCGTAACAGCGGGTAAACCGGTCACCAACCAGAACCTGAGATAAGCCTGTGATCTGGGATCTGTTATTCCTCCCAACAGGTAAATCTATTCTGGATTGTTTCAGTGTTTCCTGGCAATAAGCTTCCTGCAGCAGATGTGAGCTCACTTCCTGTCCCTAGTGTGATATAATCAGAGCTCTGAACCGTTACAAGCTGGATCATGGGCTGGCTGGGCCATTTGAAGCTTCCTGAGCAGTAATTAGCACTTGGACAATAAACAGAAGCTGGATCTGATAAAAAGTCCTGTTGACATGAACAGCCTTTTCCATAGAGATGGTACAATCATAAGGATGAGGACTAACCCAAGAACAGCTGATGGTGGAGAGGTTTCTCTGTGGTTCTGACTCACTGTGAGGAGCAGACTCATCTCCCTGGTTCAGATCCATTTCAGAGAAGTGTGACTCAGGCAGGAGCCACTCCCTGCCTGGTGGAAGGATTTCCAAACTCAGTGAGGAAAAAGCTGCCCCACAGGAGCATGTTCTCAGCAGCAGGTTTAACCAGCTTTAGATCCACAGAGACGTTTACTTACAGATAAATCAGAACCAGAACCAGGTTATTGGTCACCAACAGATGAGCTTAAACCAAGTTTTTAATCAGTTCAACTAGAGAGCAGAGTTAAAACAACTCAAAACTATCAGCCAGTTTAGCTTCAGAACCAGTGAAAGTAAACTTAAACACAGTTAAACAAGGCTCATTCATCAACAGAATCAGTAAGGAGAGACTAGTTGATAGAGTTCAGGATTGATGCTTTCCCAATGCACCTAGAACATCCAGCTAGCGATCCAATGGATGGTTTGGATGAGAGCAGATCCATGGGTTAGGACGGCCTAGTCAAAGGTCAGACCTAAACCCCAAACTGAACTTTAGCCGTTTACAATTAATCAAAACCGTTTGGAGATGTTCAAAGCTAGTGGAGACAAACCTCAGGCAACCAGACAGAATCAGAAACAGTCAGGACGAGATTAGAACCATAGAAAAGGGTTTCTGGACTAGTTGCCTGGTTCTGGTTCCTGAGGTTTTGGGCTCTGTCGTGGTGACCGAGTGGGTGGAGTGGTTCTCACCTGTCATGTTGTTATTGTTGTTGGTCTGCTCTGAACAGACAGAGACCGGTCGGTGCTGCCACCGCTTCACCTGCAGCTGCTGCAGCCAGTAGAGCATCAGCTCCTGACTCACCGCCTTCAACAGAGCCGGGTCAGACAGAGAAAGGTTCTGATTCAGAGACATGTTAAAGCTGAAGAGAACAGACAGAGGTTTCTAAGAGGTGGGATCAGGTACGGAGGGTCAGCAGTGCCAAAATCCCACACCATCTCTCCAGAGCTTATATCTGGATGTTTCTACTAGAAGCTGCAAGTACTGTCCACTTTGGAACTTAATGTTTGGTTGTTTTTATTCCAGGTTTAAATTCTTTTTAAAATCCCTCTTCAGTCCCAGAAGAAAATGAGAGTTTTATCATCAGGTTTTACAGAAACTGAGGTAAAATGTTGGCACTTCTGGCCTCACAAACCCAGATCTACTCAGAACTGGGATGCACTAACCTGGACCTCTTACCTTAAGGATGAAAGTGCGATCGGGCGTCTTGATGTGGAAGGTGCCACTCTCTGCCTTGAGAGGGTAGGTGAAGGTGGCTGCGCTGAGCTCCACCCGGCCCAGTGGCATCACATCTTGGGGCGTGCGGTAATAGAACAGCTGGTTCTTCTCCTCCTCGTAGGTAAACCAACGTAGCTTCCAGGCCCTCAGGGGGCCCGCTTGCTTCTGAAGGTAGCCACACAGTTTGGACTCACCGGGAGAAGAATGAAGAGGGGAGGGTCCCACCTGGTCACAGAACAGTTCGATGGTGAGGGGAGGAGCCAGATTCACAGAGAGGGAGGGAGGAGACAGGTGGCTCTGCTGTTCAACAGGGGGAGGGGGCTGCTGATGGTCCAGATGTTGTTCAACGTTCTCCAGGTTCTGATTTTCCTCTGGTGTAGGTGGAGAAATTTGTTCCAGATTCTGGTGGTTCTGCTGGTTTAAAGACTCTGAGACACAGACCTCTTCTTTTCCGTCTGACAGATCCACAGAGGAAGTAGATCCTGCAGTTAGAACTTCAGAGGGTCCTGGAGGAGGTTTTTCTTCAGTTTCCTGATCTGTGGAACTACAAGGTTCTGGTCCTGCAGAACATCCTGGTTCCTTCTGTCCCAAACAATGATCTCCAGCTCTGGTTGAATCTTTTTTAGAAGGAGGGTCTTTTGTCTGTTCCTGCTGACCAAAACTTGGTTTTGGGTCATTTGGACTGCTCTGACTTGGATCTGGGTCGTCTTCCATAGAACATCCTGTTTTCAGTTGCTCTGCAGGGTGTTCTGGTGTTCCTGCTGGACCCTGAGACCTGGACAAACATTTAGGCGCTCTAGTCTGCAGGTCTTCCTGCTGGTTCTGTATGTCTGAAAGCAGCGGATCAGAGTCGGCAAGGGCAGGAAGTGAGTAATACGGGGCGCTGCTGGGATTTCCTGTGGCGCCGCTTCCCTCCATCCTGATTAGAATAGAAGAAAAACTGAGAGCAGGAAGACAGAGAGAAAGAACCAGATCAGACGGAACACAGCTGTCCGAGAGCTGGGTGGTCTCTGACAATGAACAAAACCTGGTTCCTGTGCATCAGAACTCTTAACTAAATTCAACCCGACTCCTGACCCTCGTAACACAACAGCATATATTTGATCTGGATTTCATGGAAGCAGAACTCTTGTGGTTCCATGGAAGTTGAATTTAATTGAGTCGACTGCAGCTGAAAAACATGTAGTTCTGCTGGAAGTTTAAAGTCTGGTTCTACGTTCTTCGACAGAACCTGAACACAGGTACAGTACTAGTCTCATAAACCCGGATTCAGATCGGTTCCAGTCTGTTTGGACCTGAAGAAGATCTTTTTACTCAGGAGGTTCTATTTCACACGGCTTCTTGAAACCACGTTCTGCAGCAGATTAAATAAAGTTGAGAAACATTTGAAATTATCCTAAGATACAGAATCTAAACACTGACCGGGTCGGATCATGTGGGTCGAGGCTAATAATGCAGCCAAGCTTTTTAAACTCAGTTTTGGTTCTTTTCAGTAACTGATGTTATTTCACACAAGAATCATGAAAATAAATTGAGGACGTTTTTCTCTGCAGCTCCTCCTCAGAGAAGGACTTTTACTGGGTTCAGGTTTACTAAATTACGGTAATCTTCTCTTGGACCAGAATATAATTTGTGTGAGCTGGTGGAACACATCTTTGTAAATAAGAGTATTAGGGCCACTGAAAATATTTTAAAAAGTTAACTGATTTTTACATTTTATTTCAGTTTAATATGGAAAAAACTTCAGAATACTGACTTTGATCTCAGAATTCTGAGTTTTTTTCTCAGAATTCTGAGATAGATGGGCACCATGAAGGAAGAGATGTGTGAGCACTCAGCTTCACTGACTAAGATGTGAGTTGTTTGGAGCCAGTATCACATTGGTGGAAAATGACGGAATTAGGTGACTTTTTAGATGCCTGAGGGGTCCCCGGTGATGCTGTTTCATTAATAGAAGAAAAGAAGGTGATTAAAACAAGAGAGCTAGTTTAGTCTTTAGAACAGACATGGCTACGGCTTGTTGCTAACATGTTTGTTAGCTGTCAGAATTCAGCCAGAATTCTGAGATTAAAGTTGGAAGTCCGAGGTTAAATTTGGAATTCTGAAGTCAGAATTCTGAGATTAAAGTCAGAATTGTGAAATCAGAATTCGGAGATTAAAGTCGGAAGTCTGAGATTAAAGTCGGAAGTCTGAGATTAAAGTTGGAAGTCTGAGATTAAAGTTGGAATTCTGAAGTCAGAAGTCTGACATTAAAGTCATAATTCTGAGATTAAAGTCGGAAGTCTGAGATTAAAGTCGGAAGTCTGAGATTAAAGTTGGAATTCTGAAGTCAGAAGTCTGACATTAAAGTCATAATTCTGAGATTAAAGTCGGAATTCTGAAGTCAGAAGTCTGAGATTAAAGTCGTAAATCCTAGATTAAAGTCATAAATCTGATATTAAAGTCAGAATTCTGGTATTAAAGTCGGAAGTCTGACATTAAAGTTGGAAGTCTGACATTAAAGTCGGAATTCGGAGAAAAAAGTTGGAATTCTGACTTTTTTCTCATATACTGAAATAAAATTTTAAAATCAGTTACATTTTTTTAATTTTTTCAGTGGCCCTACTCCTCTTCCCTACCTTTGAGCTAAGCAGAGCCATGTTTCTCCAGTACTCAGAACATCAACCTGAAAGAAAATTCTGCTGACTGAAGAATAGGTTCTGTCCTTCTTTGGTTTTACCTTAAATAAACAAACAGCCATTCTTACCTGAGGGGGCGGGGACTGAGCGCACCTGGTGGCTGAGAGGGGCGGGAACAGGAGCTGAGGGTCTCTGCGGAACCATCCGCTGAAAAAAAGCTCCTCTGTTGTTGATGTTTGTGTCGCGTGTCCTTATCTCAGCACCTCGCGTCTCATACCTTGTCTCTCCTTGTTCTCCTGCCCGGACCCCTCCCACCCAAACACACAGACACACTCCCAACTTCTGCTCCTTACTTCAAACTAAGAGCAGGAAACCCCCAGCTTCCTGAAGTAACGTCAGAGGCACGGTCAAGGCGTGGATCTCAGTCACGTGACAGTTAATTTCCCTCACTATTCCTGTTTATAGTAACTTTTATTCATTGAGTGGTTTAATGTTTTTAATTTATGATTCTGGAACATCAACATGGATACATTTGCACTGTCTCTTTAAAGAAGCAATCAAGTCAGATAAACAATTGAAATAAATCTGTGAAAAGTTCATGTTTCCAAAAATACAAACAAATCATTTTCACAACTTTTTCTGGATTTTGTCATAATACAAAACGAAATCTGTGAAACAAAGAACTTTTGGTGATAATGAAAAAAAAGCTGCTTATAATATTTAAGATATTAAAGAACAAGAACAGACATTTTACTATAATTTGGTGCAAGAACATCACAAATTCCGAAACTCAGCTCCTTTTACAGCAGGTCCATATTCAGATAAAGACAGTAATGATGTGAGAGTCCAGAAAACAGCTTCTTGTGTTCGGACATATCTGCAAATTATTAAAAATAAGGAAGGAAGAACTTCATTTTCTGCCACTTTTTGTAACAGAATTTTTTGATCTGGATAGTTTGTCTCCATCTGGCGGCTAAATTAGTAAACTGCAGGGTGAATGTCTAGAATAATAGAAATATATATAGTTATATATATAAAATGGTGTACACATATATGTAACTGAGCCTGGTTCTGCTGGAGGTTTCTTCCAGTTAAAAGGGAGTTTTTCCTCTCCAACTTCGCTAAAAGCACGCTTAGTGTGAGGGATTGCATTTGAGTCAATGAGTTGATGCAATCAACTTTGTTTTCCTTAGATAGAAAAACTTTGAACTGTAAAGTGCCTTGAGATGACATGTGTTGTGAATTGGCGCTATGTAAATAAACTGAATTGAAATTGGATGATAGCAGTATGGGATGATGTTGATGTGGACTGTCACTGGTCTTCTTCTGAACTCCTTACAGTCTGTCATAATCGGAACAACATATACAGCCGATCACATCCAGATACAGTGTATTGGGACAAGAAGCAGCTTTTGAGAACCACATGCAGCGCATCAGCATCAGGACCAGAGGTAGCCTTTCAACCGCCACTCTTCGACCCGGTCCTGTGAGGGACCAGCAGGGGGGCAGCAGAGCTCCAGGTTTCAGAGTGTTGGAGCGTTTTGTTCTCCAAACACACCACCTCACCCATCCACAGGTGGGAAATCAACAGTTGTAATAGAACCGGAATTTAAACATCATCTTTCAGAACCTTTAGTCATCACAAGAACAGTTAGATAAAGGGTCAGAAACGTTTCACTACCAAGACCAGACGTCTGGTTATATTGCCTGGGACATCTGAGGAGACAAAGACAGAACATGAGAGACACTTCAGTACTGAAGGCCTCTGTAGCTCACTGAAGCAAAGAGAAATGAATTAAAGCGAAGAAGGAGCTGCCAACAGGAACCGAGGCGACAGAGTGATGAGGCCAAACAAAGAGGATGGATTTCAGAGCCAAAACTAAACCTTCCTAAATCAGTTAGTCCTGATCCCGTCCTGACCCCTGAGCTGCTCATCCGGCCTTTGAAGTGTACACTTCAGGGGGAGGAGAACCCACGGCCCAAATGTCCCACTCTAAAGTGACAAAATGGCCTGAGGAGACACAGCCCCACTCTACACCCCCCTCCCAAACACACAGGGACTAGGTAAAAACATTATCGTCTACAGACAGCTGTGGTCTGCCAGAAACACCTCAGTCGAGTTCATCACAAGTGCAAAAGCTGAGATGGCTGAATGGGAATAATGGAGAGTGTTGAGAATGCAACAGATCCAGGAACACCTCTATGTTCACCATCACTGATAAAGATTCAGGATCTCATCCTCAGCATCCTGCTTCTCTGGATCTTTTATTTTCTTGTTATCTCTTCACAGTGAAGGGGATATCTGAACCAAAGGTCTAATGATCAAATGGGGAGTTGAATGCACAGAATGGTGTAAAGGAGAAAGTAAACAACTGAAGAAAAGGATTTGCTCTGTCCAAATCAAAATCAGCTAGTATAATATTAATTAATAGGCTTTAAATAGGTCTCTCACCAACAGTATTGCAAAAGAGCAGCCATTGCCAGGTGTTCCTCATATGATTTCTGACAGAATATAAAGAAGCGAGGAGAACTCCTTGAATTCCAGGAGGACCTGGAAATCTCAGCTACAGTTTTTTTCCCCCATGAAAACAATTAATAATCCACCCAACAACATTCACTTTGATCCACAATGACTGATAACCCCAGTTTTTCTATACAGAAGACATGTTCAAAGTTAAATTTTTCCAAAGTATTTATTCATTTCTACATGTTCTATTGTTTTTCTCTGTGCCCGTCTCCTTTTACGAAAATGTTGATGTGTTCGATGCTTCTTAACCTGCTATGAGTTTTTAATCTGAAACAAGAAATTAATATTAATGAAAATGAAAAAAAAATTCTAAAAATTGAAATATAAAATTTGAAATTGCTATTAACATTTCTGAAATATAAGGAAACTTTGCCTAAACGAATGTTGGAATTTAAATAATTTAATTTAGGGATTATGTAATTTATTAATCCTAACATCACTTGTTGATCTGTTACCATAATGGAGGGAATGATGGAACTAATTGTTTTATTTAAACATTTATTGATTATTTCCTCTATCTAAGTGTTGAAGTATGATGCAGCTATATTAGAATTCATGATTTTAAATTTTGTATTTTTTAAGACTGAAAAAGGATTTTTTTTTTAATCTGAATGAGAGATACTGCTCCAGACTCAAGTGATTATCTTAAAAACAAATAAGCAAAACAATGCAGATCCAAAAAAGCATAATTTCATTCAAGCTCAATAGATGATAAATAATCTTGGACAAGGAGATCTAGATCTATAACAGAGAGCTGTTTCAGACAAAAAACAACCCTGAGTTCTGCTGTGGGATAGTCTAACCTCCAGTAGTGCAAAAATATAACAGCTCTAATGTGAAAGTCTCACCTTTAGGGGCCACCAAACCTTTCATTGGACCAACAGAGAAGTTTTATTCTCAAAGATCATCACTCCAAGCTCTTTTCTTCTTATTGAGAAGAAGGAGGACAAGCCCCAACAAGAGCTTAGAGGATTAAGTTCATTCTCACTACCAGTCTGAATGAGACTGCATCTGCACCCCACCCCCCTCACACACATGTGAGTGGGGAAAGCCAGCTCTTGGTAGGACCAGTGAACCCTGAAACATCCTGAGGCGTCAGACTGAAACTGAAGCTTCTTCTGCAGCTTGGCTCACTTTAGGATGCAGCGGTTCTGATTGGATCGTCCCACAAGAAGAAGAAGGAAAGATGTTTCTGCCTCAGCTGATTAACTATAGACATCAGTAGGGAAACCAATAATTCACCTGTTTTCTAACCTTAATGATGTGTCTCCAGTCAGCCAATCAGAGGGAACAGTAAAGAATTTTTCTCTCTTTCTTTCTTCGCCAACTGCCTTTTTCTTTACATATGCTTACTTTTGAGTTAATATCTTTCTGAAAAGAAATTTTTCATAAAAAAGTAATTTTTTTGCATTATATAATTACACAATTATTAAGCTATTTAAACTCCAAATCATTTTCAAACCCCACTCAAATAAAAAGACAAAAAAAAAAACTAACAAAAACAAAACAGGAGAATCAGGGAGTCAAGTTTAATTGATTGGTTGATTGGCTTTATTGATCTCACAGTGGAGAAATATACTCGATTCAGCTCGAAGCTGGTGGCTATAAATTAAGAACTTTTACAGAATAAATATATAGAAGGGTAACCAAAGTCTAGTGTCCCTTAAAATGAAGCATGGTTACAAAACCTAAATAAAGGTTTTACAGTCACATCTGAGAGGGAGGTTATTTTTCATGTGTGATTCAACTATTCATCACTAAGATCCATCTAGAAATCAGGAGTTAGGAGGAGTCAGACTTCCATGCAGGGGTAATATTTTCATGCAACACACAAAGCCTGTTCTAGGAACTTCTGTTGGCTTTGTTGGGCTGAAAAAAAAAAGTTTTGCTTTACACAGAATTAAGTGGCTTTTTAGAAAGTTAAAAATAGCTAAACTCAAACTAGTTACATTGTGTCGCATACAGGTGAAAAACTCTTCCATACTACTGTATTTGTACTTGAACTCATGTTATTAAATCATTTATTCTTTAAATGTGAAGGTTTTGTTAAACGTGGCATCATCATTTAGTGTAAAGTACTGGTTTATCAACCATCCCAGTGAAATTATAAGGAATGGGAGGCTGATCCAGAGCTAAAATCCTGCTGCTGTCCCAGATAAGGATCCAAAGCTTATTTTCAGTACACTAATACAGAAATCTGACCTGTACTTTATGTTTTAGAAGAACGTGGCATTATGATAACAACAGTACCAAGGATGGTTGAGATTTTTTTTCTTTCATTAGGTGGGTGGCCTTTAGGTTGTGTTTGGGCAGGAAATGTGCAGATCCGGCAACCCTACAGTAGCAGGAACAACCCTTCATTCCTGCTTCAGCTAAAGCAGAGACTGTATAACTCTGCTTTGCATTTATTACATTGTTTTTGGTGTTATATAAGTCTGATGAAGAAAATTATAAAGGCTTAGTCAGTATCTGCAGTTATTTGTTGCATTTAAACATATTCTCTTACCTTTGCTGTTTGAGGTTTGCCATTAGTTTTGTTTGCTTACCCTTTGCCAGGTGTTTTCTAGTCAATTTTATGGCATATTTCTTACAGTTTTTGGCTGGTTCTGTCTTTATGTATTATTATTTAGGCCCTTGTTTCTCTGTAATAATTTCCTCCTTCAGTTAATTACCGGTAATAGATTTTATACACTTGTGCTTCCTTGTTTGTTCTATGGTCACTGTCATGAGTTTGGCGCTGATGGCTGGTTTAATTGCTCATTTCCCTCACTTGTCTAACTCTGTCCTGTTTCTCATCACTGCTCATTTGATCCAGCTGCTCCTGCTGCTATTTAAACTCCTTGGTCCCAGCCATCAGTGCCAGAT